GAAACTGCCGAGGTTCAAACCAAAGCTATCGTCGCTTTTATTGTCGGAATTAGGTGTAGCCTCACTATTGCTATTAGTGCTGTCTCGGTAACAATAACGATTCGTCTATGCGGCGCTCGCTTATCTGCTGGCAATATGCAGGCAAGTCTTCATCTTAACAGGTCGCTAAACAAAAGCTGACCAGAAATAGACAAAAGTTACGCCTGGAAGATGTCTATCGTCGATTTCCAGTTTCATGCAATGCTCGCTTACGGACGCTCTTTTTTCAGATGTCAGAACGGGAAAGGTGGAACTGCAGAAGCCAACCGAAGTGCGCTAATCGTCTTACAGCTGCTACTACTGCCGACGAATGTAAAGCAGCTTTCAGATATCGCGTCGTCATTCTATTAATTTGAACAACAACCGCCGGAAAGGTTGAGGCCGTGTTTAGGTTTGCTTACGGAAGCAAGCGTAGCGGATTCACGCTATGTTAAGCTAGCGCGTCAACTTTCTGATCGTTCTTGTATGCCGCCGCCGCCGACGACGACTTCACATGCAGTAGAAAACGCAAATATCAAAAAAGCGGAACTATTAGAAAAGCACTTCGGTCAGTCAAGTTAAACCCTTACGCAAAACGTTACTGTGGCTGTCCATTGCTTGGCGTAAAAAGGCAACATCCTTTGCATGTTTTCAACGTTTACATATTAATAGCGAAAACAGTTTTAATGACTGTTGGGTACATGTTAAGCGAAATATAGGCCCCTAGGATAGCCGAATCCATGATTCCGTCTTATCTGCGCAATGTAAACTTGCCTACGTGTGACATATTCTGGCCAATAAACAGCAATAGAACAGGTTCCTACCATATAAGGCAAACTACGTAGAGACAAAAAAAGCTCTACAATATCATACCAGTGACCACACCGTTCGGACCTCTTATATATATATATATATATATATATATATATATATGGTACTATATAGGGCATTCGTAGCCAGTTCGGCATAAGAACGGGAAGCAGCAGCAGCAACTATTGCTTGCCCATCAGGGCTGCCAACAAAGTACCAGGGGGAGCCCCTGTGCCGTCCCCATAATCTTCTCCGGTTAGTTGTTGGGCGCAGAGCAGCTGGAGGGCCGCGCACGGCTTGGCTGACCGACACTTCGTTTCCATTGTATTCTTCAGCAGCACTTAAAGTTAGCATTGCCTATTGTGGCGCTGTAACTGAGCCGACTATCAGCCCGAGAGAAAAATTAAAACGAAGCCGGTACTCGCTCACCGTCTGTCTGCAACTAAAAGAATCTTGCTTCATTCGATATATATATATATATATATATATCCACACTTCACCGGTATGCTTAGGAGTCAAGCTGCATTCTTAGTGCAACCTTGCACGCCACTGAGAAAGTAGCATTTCTGGAGTTCTGGTCTAATACTGCAAAGCAGTTTGATCGTTGGTTCTGTATTGGGCGGTACTATTTCTCGCTTGCATGAAAGATGAATTTATGTGCAATGATGACAATTATATTCCATAAACTTGCAATGATTGTGGACAATTACATCATAGCGGAAGGGCAAAGGCATTGTTCCAATGCGTGGCATGTCAGTTTCCTTCCAGAGGATGGGGTCCACTGGAAGCGGCATTTAGGCAACGACTATTGTGAGTCCTATCCGATCAAATTAGCCTATTCGTAAAAAAGTATAACACAGCATATGCTTTCACAGTAGTTCTCGAGAACCGTACGTGGACATTAGTTTTAGAAATATCAGAGATTGCAATTGCAATAATATTCAACGAAGGCTCTTGAAAGAACATCCGCTACTACTCGAGCGTACAAAGGCTTACTTGTTTTCGGTTCCTTCCTTTGGATAGGGATAGATGATTTTCTTCTTAGCCCAACCGTTAACCAAACCGAACGTTTGAAGGCAGCTGTACCCTTTCAATATGTGACGATGCCGGTGTCATTCTCGTGTCCGGTCCATTAGTTACTAATATTACATACGTAACTGTAGGTTAGTGATCTCTAACAAATGCAACAGAAACAAATATTGTCGATTTTGACATTGAATAATAATACTCGAATACGTTAGTTAAACTGCTGTAACACAGTTGTTTGCGGACTGAGTTGACACGGTGACGAAAAAATCTTTAGACGAGCAAGAACACCGCTGACCAACGCCGTTCCATCCGATTCGTAAAGTGACTTGCGCCTCTTTTGCTATTAGTATATATCTCATAAAAACAATGGTGTTCTGCCTCCCGCCCCTCAGCCTTTTCCTGCCCCCCTTTCTTCTTGCTGTTGTATTGTGTGCTTCGTATGGGTACCATCATCGGGCAACGAATTCAACAGAGCGAACTATCGTTATTGTTGACGCAGTTCAGCAGTCCCCGTTGTTAAAAGGACATTCATTTCTAAGTTTGAGTTTCTAAGTAAGATGATTCATCCCTATCGAATGGCACTCATTTACTTTTTGCCACAGCTTTAGCTAGTATTGAAACTATATTTCGCAAGCCAATATCTATTTCTGCCTTCTACATCTAGTCACAATACAAGGAACACCTGACTATATGTAAAAAACACGTCCAGCTAGTTTTGTAACGATATATTTTTGTACTAAAGCAGTTTCGTTTCTATAGGACCAATCTATGTTTGTTCGCTTATGGAGTGGTTATCCTAATTTTTCGAATAAACATGAAGGCTGCTACCCTATTTGACCGATCAGCCATTACCACAGTCTAAATAACATAGTGATTTCTGTACCTTAACTGTTCTTCGCGAGAACTCCGGTATCCGTCAGCGTAACACCTGTCTAGTTTGGAACTGCGAAATCTATGCTTTTAGCATAGAAATAAACCGCAGAAATCGAAACCGCTACCGTCGCTAGGTCCTCTAATTCAGCCAACTAACCCATGTTTTGCTTCGCCGCAGCATAGAACCTCGGTTGAGGATTTATAATCGCTGAGAAACTAATTTCTCTGCCCGCGTTCTAGCCCATAGAATACCCCTATTACTACATTAATAATAATGGGACAATTTACTGCATTTACGGCTTTTTTTACTGTAGCTGAAAGAAGCATTTGTCTGTTGCTTTGTTCATCTAAGCTATTTGCGGGAGGTATCTTCCTTTTTGGTTATAGAACGTAACGCGAACAAAAAAAAACGTACCTTTTTTCAGACAGTTTGCTTAGCAACCGTCAATAATTTATGCAAGGCGTACATATGAGGAAGTTATTTGTTTTTCGGCCCTTACAAATAGGCGTAACTATATTTTAGAAAGATCTTTTTGTTCAATAACGACTGAGAATCTGAGAACAAATGACATGCGTTTATGCGGAACTTTAAAAATAAGCTCATTGCTACGGAAGACAAGTGCAACTTTAGGGATTACAAGGAGGCTTTAGTGAGTGAATAGGGTTATTAATAGGGTAACCCGGTAGCTGCCATCCATTAGCAGAATTGCAGGAAGTGTGGTTTAGGCAAGAGATAGTCTAAACGACAGCATAGTGGTGCCGCATCCAACAATGCCAAGGGTCAATGGATCAATCGCTGAACCAGGGCACTAGTTTCAATAGCACAAAGTTGTCGGAAGTGTGAGATAAGTTATTCATTTGAGTATAGAAGGAAAATAAGTTACTGTAACGATTGCTGGACATTAGAGTGAAGCTAGCACAAAGCCGAAAAATTCGTTATTATTCTTATAACCATTTAATGGTAGCAGACGTTTTTTTGACGTTCAGAACAGTACACACCTTCCTAAAAAGCCCTCATAATCCCCCCTTTCTAAGCAGGTTAATTTTTATACACAGTCCAAATTAAAAGATAGATTCTGGTTCTTTTCGTTGTCGAAAAGCTTTCTTCTGAAAAATGACGGCCACAGCAGAGCGTAAGACCGTGGGTTAAATCAAGTCAATCTGCATGCATCGTATGCGGTAATCCGACGACTCCCTATCGTTGACGCCTGCTTAATGACGAATCGTACAGAATGATCAATAGCAATACCAGTCTTTCAACCCTGTCGATCTGATCTATTCATTCACCTAATATATATATATATATATATATATATATATATATATATATGTAATGTTAGTAGTACCTCTATCTGAGGTTCGTTTTTAACTTTGATCTTTTTAAAACCATTTTGAGCACTGAGTGTCCCTGAGACGCTAAGCGGCTACCGTCAATGAGTGCCATAATGCCTTGATCGAATCGCTGCGGCTTCTTAATAGTCGTTTCAATTGAACCTCCGTATTGCGTCAATATTATCAGCCTGCAGCACTAAATTGAAAGAAATTATATGAGTGTCTGATTCCATGCATGACGAACTCATGCAGGTGGCGTTCCGTGTTCAACGATGACGCTGTTTCATTTGGTTGATTTCTGACAAACATCAGCATTACCATCTTAGTGATGTTACGATTTGGTGGCTATGGACTTCTAACAGCACTCCTGTCAAAATACTCTGTTTGTTTATATTCAGTGCAATTTAGCATGTCAAAATACTGCCAGATTGGGCAGTGCCACGCCCCGTGTTTGTGCCTCCTCCAGTCCAACGAACTCGTGGGCAAATCTCTTCAACGATACTGAAAATTGCGTAAAGACTAAATTGCGCACTGAATGTCTAAGTCGGCAGCCGGCCAGCCTATACCTGAGGCATCTGAATATCATAGAAGACACATTTATGGCCAAGTACATGGAGAGATATTTCTAGCTTATAAGATTTATTACAACTATCGCTGACAATGCTGATAATATACTCACGTATAATCCGTATATTGATTAGAAAAACCACGTATGGCCTCACTCAAAAAAGTCGAGACAATACCCAAATGACGTTTAGTTGGGGAACAATTGATAGCATTGAAACGACGACTGCTCAGTGGCAGTTATTAGCTTCGTCGTGTTCCAATACTAATTAATACTTATTTTATTTTTTATTTGTTTACGTTAAACTCATCCACCATCTGGTGTCGTCTGCTGATTGAACTGACTGTTTTTCGATTTGTCTCATATTATGCAGTATTTGACAGCGCAGACGTGCCAACTGCGAGACGCCAACGAGACGCGCCTGCGCATTTACGAAGCGCTAGAGCAGAGCGTCGCTGAATTGGAAAGAAACAACCGTTCGCTCCAGGACGAGGGAAAAACGGACAAGAAGCGCATCAAGGCGTACGTATCTTATTTTGCTTATAATATACTCTATCCATGTTACCCTTGTTATACGTAACATTAATTTGCCATGTCGGGATGTGAATTACTATATTACCCCCTATATTAAAAGGAGGATAATATGATAGAATCGTGGTGTCTCTATTCGCGAATATGGCGGGCTATGCGTCAAGTAAGGAATGATTTACAGTGTCGCTACCCGATATTATTATTACTATGATATTGTTATTAATATCGCATTATTATTGGGGCCTTCCGCACTTGTCTTTAGCATATAAATAAATAACAAATACATAATAGAGAAATATATAAATGATACCATAAAAAGGCAAAAATTAGGATTTGATAAAATAGGGGTGTGTGAAGTAATCTCCCACGAGCTTCATCTTAAGTTTGGTTAAGCTCTAAATAGTTAGCCACTTTTCTCGTCCTATCAATGACTTCGAGCATCGTTGTCTTAGTATATGCCATAGCATGTATGCCCTTGCAGTTTCTCTAAATACGTGAAACGAACCGATTGTCTCTAAAGCAAGCGATATTTGCACTTTTGCCTATCTCCTTTTTGTACTCATCAAGATATATCGTTATTATAGGGCAGGCTGGTTCTGCTTACTTTTGTACTTAAAGCTCGACTCATATACGCACAAAACTGGTTTGGTCTCCATTCGGTCTAGTGCCTAACCCTGAGTAAAGACTTAATTGCCATTTGGTGCGATTGTTACCAAAGCTGGGTCATGACTTTTTAGCTGCCTAAAGCGTTATACACATTAGGAGTGACTATTGGCACTGGTGTGTGACTATTCGCCTGTTCCTGCAATAACTCACCTCCTGTTACTGTTCCTTAACAACGCACAACCGAGAAATGTCCATTGTACCTTTTCTGGCCTTTTCTATTCATTTTATTCCAAGTTGAAGGTCCTGGCAGCAGGAACAAGTAGTCTTTTTTCTTTGTGGGGATCAATAACAACATGGCACACGACGATGGGGGAAAAGATTGGTTTCTAGACTGGTTAGCCAATCGATATTGAGAGGTGCTTCTATCGTATTTTCTTTTTCAAGTTCTGCGCTTTGAAACTAATTCGTCTATAAGTCAAGTAAGGATGTTGTTTTTGTCAGATACCCTGACGATGCTTAGCGTGTCATCAGTACAATTACCGTCGACATCCTTATCGTCATCGCCGTTTTAGGACTCATCCATGGATAATAGGCCGCAGCTCCTGCTGCTTCACTTTACCCACACCAACGAAATGGTGTGCCTTTATGCTAAGTAAAACGCCTAAAAAACACTTATGAATTATTTGAGTTATTACAAAAATTTATAGACAGTAATAGAATATTAGCGCTCCTCTGTTCAGATTTGCATCACACAATTATGTCGAGAACTATTTCACAAATTTACTTTAATATTTCATCTTTGGGCTCTTTAGAATGAAATGTACTTTTGTACGTTTATAGCACCTCCTCGACCCGCCATAATGGACGCAGCTAACGTAGAGCAGAAATAAGTTTTCTATTTCTTTTTTGCCTTACAAACGAGCCGGGCGTAAGTTATCGTTCGTGTAAGTTGGCCAATAAAGCTGGAAATTGCGACACTACATGAAGCGAGCTGGTCAACTCAGTGGCAACTTTCATGATGGCACTACAGCTAATTTTTTACGCTGTACGAACCTCCGTTTTCATTTGATAATAATAATGATATGCGTGCTTTTTGATGTTGCCCATACGATCGAAACGTATTGCCCCATCATACCGAAGTCTGTGGCTAGTTCATTGCGACACTTAACTTTTATGCATGCTCTCGCTTCATAGAGCCGAGTATGACAAGGATCGAAATGACTGACGTCTAATTCACCGAGCGCAAGATGGCGGATTCGATCCGGAGTAATGATAGCTAACGTAGTTAAGATAAGACATGCTTGCACTACCTACGGACGAAGGCAAATAGGATCGGCATATTCGGCGACGTCGTGGCCACAAAGCCAAACTTCGGCCCTACCGGCGTGGTCAAGCTTTTATTGGATATACGGGCTTTCAACCGACTTTGTAGGGGCGTACATGAACCTACTGGGCCTTGAGCCAACCTTAAGTAACTGTTGCAGTTAATGATTCTGTGACTGGAACATAACCAAAGCTTAAGTATTTATTCTTTTATAAAACATATAAACACATACTATATTAAATAATATTAAGTTTGTTCCCGGGGTGTCATCGAAGCTTGAGAATTTACATTTTTTTTTCATTAGAAGATATTTATACTTACTTTAGTAAATGAAGTTGAATCTGGTTCTGGAGCTTTATTAAAACTTGAAGTTTTTTACTTTTGTTCCATTTTTATTTTGAAAAAATTTATATATATATATATATATATATATATATTAAATGAAAATTTAATGAAAATTTTATATATATATATATTAAATGAAAACTGGCTTTGCTTCCAGCACGTCGCAGATTTTTTAAAATTTTCTATAACAAATAGCTACACAGATCACACTAAATGAAGGTAAAATAAGCCTTTGATAAATAGAAATTCACTCAAAAAGACGTTCAAAGCCCATTCAAAACCCATTTCCATTTTCTAATGACATAAGCGAAGCAGATATTACCGTAACGTTTTTCCCTTTTCACAGCGAAGTATCTAACTTAAGGTATATGCATTGAATCTCTCTGGAGCTCGTTGAGATCTACTGATTGTTGTTTAGAAGGACCCCCTATGTAGAAGTCAATGCTAAGATTTTACTCTTCAGACTGCTTTTTATACCTGAAAGCTGAAATTTAAATGTAAGGAGATAAATTATGGTTCAATTTTGTTCGTTGAAAACGTTCAACTAGTAACAAAAATACTCCCGTTCATCGACCTCCATTCGATTGCCATATCGTCAGGACATATGTGTCTATATCAATATGATCGCTACAATAGGCGGACGTTTCGACAGAACTTCCGCCAGATCAGATGAACAAGTCGCCTCATTCAGTGCGCTAAACTCTAATACTCTGCGAGCTTTCGGATTAAATTATACTAGCTTTCAAATAAGCAAGCTGTTTTCATTGGTTGGGGATCTAAAAATACGTTGAAGGACAAAAGCCTCCAAATTGCCGTTTTATCAATGAAGAGTCCAGTTCGCAGTGGACAGCACTCATTTATCGAAGAGAATCTAATTCTATAGTATATTGTATATGTAACAATAAAATGTATGGAAATTTACGCCATTAGTTCATATACGAGCCAAACAACAACACCGGGGTGCGCTAAATCATGTAATTATAGAAGGAGTGTAGCGGGTTAACTGGGATCAAGTGGGCCGAGAACATTCGCTTATGATTATATATATTTTTGTGTCTACTTTAATATCCATCCATTCATCGATGCTTGTGAGCTACATGTCATCTATGTCAACTTTTTTTTCAAATTTCTTACGTCAGAGAAGCCAACGCAACCGCAAATAGAAGGCCACATAGGCCACACGATACAGGCATTAATGATTGACGAACGAGACGCCCAAGATAGTTGCCAACGTATTCAACATCATTCTCAATGCTGTGTGCAAGTACGCGTGCGAGAGAGAAGAGGAGGCAAAAAGAAGGACTAAAGAATATTGATCGTCATCTGCTGTAGAAGTTAATCGATTACTTCTAAATACATTTAACCCAGTCAGACGTGACAAGCTGCAAGAGTTGCCGAAAGGTTTCGGCACCGAAGTTTTGCTTAAGAGGCGTATGGGGCACCGCGAAACCCCTCACAGTCCTTGATTACATAATCCAACTAACAGATTAACATCTTTACGAGGCATGATGCTACCACAACTCCGAGCTACGACTTATCGAGTTCAATTTGCCGGATTGTACCAGCCGCATTGGAAGCACATCGCTCATTACTGCTGGTGACATTAACGGCATTGTCATTTGTTAGAATTATAATTGTTGTTGTTGTCGGCGTTCTGTTGAGACGCAGCGACATATTAAGATCGCTCCATCGCGCTCAACCCGAGCCCATCCGTCCAACGATTCGATGGTGACGCCTTCGTGTGTGACCATGCAAATTAGCGCTCATACCCCAATCTTCATTATTGTAGAACACAGATATTTCTTGCACCCCAATAATTTTTCAAAACTATCTAGGAAGTGTATAACAGATAGATACACACTGTGATGTGAAAGTTCAGGAAAAACTTCGGCAGGCTGTTTGTTGTAACGGGCACCCGGGCATCCGTTCATTCGCTACTCGTGCTACCAGTCTTCTCTCATCGTGAGAAAAAATAACGTCGTTTTCAAAATTTGAATGAAGTTCAGCTATTATCTAATCGTGCCACATCATACTGCGTTAAACGAATCTTCACCCGCTGAGCGAATGTTCACCAGAACTTGAACTTTTTTGGTATGGCTTACATTGTTCTAAACATCTTCAAAAGTCTCAGGAGGACTACAATGAAAAGGCTTATCGGCTGATATAATCTACCGCAAGTGGATGCACGTTGCTCTCCAGGACCTTTCTGTAGCCTCTCTGTGCGTTGTCAGAGGGCATTCTTGAGCCGACTAACGGGTAGCACAATGGCGAGGCTTTAACGCGATCGGGGATGTCCTGAACAAATCTGTGACATGACACTTAGGCATCCGGACCTACTGACGGTTTAAAGTACAGTTTGTTATCGTAGTAGTGTCGAGAGTGATAGAGGCTATTTGTCCCGCCTATCAAGATTGATGGCTACCTTCCACTGAAGGATACATTTGGCTCTCCAGCACACGTTACATCTGCCTTCTTGAATTAGCATGTTGTAGCCTATGTTACCCTGTCGGCTAGAAACTAGCATGTCAGCAAACGGCGTACAATTGAACTAATGTTTGGTTAGCTTTGATGATTGAGTGGAAACGCAGGTTGGATGATAACTTGGGTCTGACCACAATCGTGAGTCTTTCAAAACTGGTTAAAGCTAGTGCACTTTTGTGGGAGATGAAGCCATGGACCTTGCATGCTTCCTGCAATGCTCCTATCACCGCCGTGCACCGATGGCTAGCTAACTGATGCGCCCTGATCAAAGACCGCGTTGGGGATGGTATTCAGGAGCAAATATACGAGATGAAAGGTAACGCAGTACGGCCTGCCAAGCACTACGATCGACACGCCCGCCTCATTACCTGATCTGGTAACTATTTCTGTTGCTCCGAGACAGGTTCGAAATTCGTTCATAACTTCAGCTACTTCGCCAGCCATGCCACTAGCGGACTGACTTGAGTGAGCATTTCAGGGACACTTTTTCCCATTTCATATAGCCGAATACGTACATCTATTCATCGACTGATGTAATATTCCCGTTGGTAGAAAAACAGTAAATCTCCGGTGATTTACACTAAAATTATATTACAAATACTTGCTTTTTGCGGACGTTGAAAAATATTGTTATTATGATAAGTATATTATTTGGATGTCGCATAATGTGTATATAGAGGTTTAATACTAATTGACATTGTTGTTATGCTGCATAAAAAAAATTGTGTCATACGCTCTCATAGCGATAGCGAAGTCTTCTTTAAAAGATAAAGCTTTTGTCTATAAACGATAATTGCTTAAACGTAGTCGAAATCTTGACAACAATTGAAGCTGATCGCTGCTAAGACGACAGAAAACAGGAAAAGGCGATCTGGGTTATACAGGACACACAATTGTCGGTTTGCTCTGTACCGCTCTGCGTTAGTTTTTTAGCCTCTAGACAAGAATAGAGACTGCATGCTTATCACGCCTTGAGGTCTCGAGCTGACTGCTCGAAGTTCTAAGTAGAAGTTAAAGTATATACTGCACTTCATAGCTATTTAGACAGGGTACTCTGACGTCGACTCACCTCTGGCCGAGAAAGTAACAAAGCCTCTTTTCGAATACTCGCGGCTTTATTCGCTATCGTGACAACCTCTTTACACACTGTATATTACCTAGGCTACGAAATTACTTATCTGCCGCTCAGAGGTTAACTAGGACATGCGGTAGGAGCTTCTTCAAAACAGCTGTGCTTGAAAGCACATTAAATAGTTATAAAACTATTAAATAGCTACCGATAGCTCTGAAGTGGTAATTGGTTGCCGCAAAGATCACAGTACATATTATTTAGTGACTATTACCAGTAGTCTGATATGCGGCGGTGACAAATATTGGAAATGTTTACGGAGAATCGTGTAAACCTGTAAATAAAATGGTGTTGGTTCACCAGTGCTTGAAGATTCCCAGCTATATGTATATATATATATATATATATATATCAGAAAGATAAGAACTTTGTATCATTAATTGTAGCTAGTTCTTTCCGAGTCAATACGTGTCGTAATTTTATCAAATAACTTGTGTTGAACGTGTCCGGCCTAAAAAATAGACCTTGTACGATTCACCAACTTCAACCACTTCATGCTTTATGGAATCTGGCCGAAATAGCGTCGTGAACCCTTTTCAAAGTCTCATTTTCTTTGTGGGATGTTCCGCTGTCAGCACACAGATCGCCGTATGCTTAAAATTAAATTTGCTGGTAGTTGATCAAAAAGGAACCGTAACCGTTTCAGGTTCTTTCGCCCTGAAACGTTAGCAATGGTGGGAGTATGTTCATGCCTCCGCGTGTATATGGAAATATATAAATTGATTGCTTAAAGAGGTATTCAGCTTACTGACAATAATGTCCGCCAATGACATTTTGAATTGAATACAACTCGTAAACATTCTGACCTTCTGTGGGCGAAACGTTTTTCTCCTTTTAGTAATAGGCTTAAAATAAAATGGATATGTAGATAGATAGTAATAGGTTTATCTACAGCTTTCGAAGGCTAGAGAATCACGCGTGGAACATTCGGCCAACGTTAACTTTCACGGGCAGCCAGCCAGCCAGCCAGAGGCTCTATTGCATCGGTGCGCTGTGATTTAGCTATTTCTGACAACTCAGAACTATCATTTTGCCATGGTTTATATTAAATTGTGCGCAGTATCAGTGACGAGCAGCTTTATAAAAACTTATTACAGACGGACAGTGTACGGTGCGCCGACCTACGGCTACTGGAACTTCAGACATAGGGGCTCAATACCGTTTCACTCAACTGTTTCATATAAATTAGCGATGATTTATTTTTCCTGCTACGATTTCGTGCTAGCAATGGAGGCAGCAACACTATCACTGCGGAAGGCACGCTTAGCCAAGGGACTGAATATTCAAAATGTATTTGGCGCTAAAGCCGGAAGGACGTTGCTGCATTATAATTCCATTAGCTTGCCCTCGATCATCATTCTTAGCCATTCCACTAATATTTGCTGAGAATTAGTTCGCCAAAACAGGACGAATTTACATATAGCACACATAAATTTTAATTTACCAATATATATATATATATATATATATATATATATATCAAGTGGTTAAAAATCCTGTTGCGTGTTATCAGGCAGTAGTCTTCGTTTAGAGAGGACTCCAGAACAGCCAGCTGTAGCTCAACGCGTTTGCAGCACTGTTCCGAGCTATTAAACATTAATTAAATATTATTTAAGGGCGTTGCATTGTGTCCACTTATATTTTATGCAGTAGATGGTTGTTAATTAAATTTTAAAATATCTCACAAAATATTTATTCAAGAACACTGATTGAAGTTGGTCGTTACAACTGCGTGTTTTGCACTACTGAATAAACTAATGTAAGTTCATTTGCGAGAGACTTGGGCAGATATGCCATTCTGAATTCGCGATAGGGCGACAGCGATATCCGAAATACTCAGTCGACATACTGTTGGCACACTGTTTTCAAAGCTGGTAAGAGTGATGTTGCCAACCGGGTCCTTCTGTGCAGCTGACGCTTGCGTGTGAATTTAGCTCATGAATTTACGAGGACATCTTTTCAGCGAGCTCTTTGCCCAGCACTTCATTATTTCGTCAAAATTCGATGAAACAACGGGACAAATTCGATCATAAGACTGGTAGCAGATTCTCGAATGGAGGGTGTATATTGTTGCTTTGGATTAATTAACTATTGCGTTGATGTCCGGGCCTTCGCGCACTGCTGCACTACAACATTCACTCTGTCCTACAAGAGGAACCGTCCTCGTGTGTGAGACTGAAACTCGTCCAGTCGACAAAGGCGGAAGCACTGGTTCGTGTACAGAACCACAACTACGAAGATTCTGTGACTAAGCGTTATGGCCAGTGAGTACAGGCGAAACGAGCCCATCGACTGTGGGTTTACTCTTCGTTCAGTTTTGGCGACAAGGAAAGACAAAATTAGAGCAGGTCATATTATATGGATACAATCCTTCAGCGTCACATGGAAATGCGGTAGGTTTGTGATGGGAAGATGTGGTAACTGACGACTTTCAACAATGCCATGACTCTCTGTTGTTTATCGATTTGTCCCTAGGTTATGTGCTTCTCTTGAATTGGTGGAGCAGCACTGCGAGGAGTTACAGGAAGAAGTGGATACGATGCGTGTAACCGCTAATGTTTCGCAGTTGCACCAACTTCAACAGCCAAATGGCCAGCAAAGTCCTGCCGCCCAGGCTGGCACCAAGGGCAAGACAGGACGAAATGGTCAAACCGGGAACCAATTGGAGCACGGCAAGCTCGAGCAAGAGGGTCGAGGAGGGACCGGTCGCCGCAACTTCTTAGACTATACATCCTCGGAGGAGTCGTCACACACCGACGAGGAGAGCGGCATCCACGGCTCTGATGAGTCCGACTTTGCCGGATTCGAAGTAAGCTCTCGACAGTTTTACTATTACCGCTATTATCTTTGCTAGTTCTCTTTTTTTTACGTTTAAAGAACATCATTAAGTAATATATATATATATGTATATATATATATATATATATATATATATGTATATATGTATATATATATATATATATATATGTATATATGTATATATATATATATATATATATATATATATAGAAGAAATATTCAAATTAAAAGTTTACCTCTCACTGCGATTCTCGTTTTATATTGAGTTCTCTACACTTGATAAATGATAGTTTATTTCTAATTATAATTGAAAGGATACACCTCTTGAGCTGCAAGAGGTGCTTCGATTGCGGTCCGAATTGGTACGTCTTCGTAGTCAGATCTCGCGTGAACAGCGGATGCGCGAGAATCTCTCATCTGAACTTGAGAGATCGGTTCAGGAAAACGCACGCCTTCGCGATGAGCTTCTGTCATCACGAGAGCGCGAACGCCTCAGCCTCAACATTCAGATGGAGATGGGGGGCACAGTTCCTTCTCTTGACCTATCTAAGGACAACAAGTAAGCACCATTAGATTCTTTCTTCTATCGCACTTTTCATACTTTTAAGTAAAGGAACGTACTCATTGTGTTATATTTGAAACCATTATCTAAATGCGCTGATTAGCATCGAATTGCTCATTAGGATCCATACATCTCGGAAGATACAGTATGATCTCAATGGAAGAGTACGATATTTTCATATAAGTGACATTTAAGTCCTTTTTGTAAATGGACGCGTTCATTATGTCCTGTGTGGTTTTGTGGATTTGTCCTAGAAGCGACAGCCTGAATGAAGAAGATGAGCAATGTGAGGTTGACTCTGGAATGAACTCAGGGGCGGAACAAGAATCGGAAGCCGTAGAAAAAGGTAACACGCTTCTATACGAACTCGACATGCAGTACCGCGTGCTCATTGAGAAATATGAAGCGTTATTGGAAGCACGTAAGCGAGATATCGAGGCAGAACAAGCAATGGCGGCTTCTGTGCACTCGCAAATTCATAGCGACACCGATGCAGTCGTTTCCACTTGCTCGGAAACAACATCCTCGGATAGTCATCTGCTTATTGAGACGACGAGAGAACCAAATGGTCAGAAAGATGCTGCCTGCCAAACAGAGATCCAGGTGCTGAAGAAGCGAGGATGTAGCGAGCAGACGTCGCCGATCAATGGAGCGCCTACGAGATCGTCTCTGAGGCTACCAGCAACAGAGCCAGCAATCTCCACGAACCGTACCGTGCACCTCAGTGGCCAAACTCAGGCTCGCAACGCTGGCTCCTGCCTGGCCTCGTTCAGTGAAGCCGACCAGGAGACCTTCAACAAACACTTTGAGCACTCGCCTCCAGAGTACAAGAAATTGTTCGCCGAGATCTTCGCCGTCCTAAAGAAGAAGGTGGCGGAGATGCCGATGTGCGAAATCACGAGTGATCGTCAGCCGACGCCAATTCTGCCAGGTAACTATCCCTACCGATGTTCCGTTATCTAATTGCATTTCAACTTAAGAGAACTGTTGCCCAGCACATTGCTATAGGAAACTTTTCTGTCTGGTTCAGATTGGTAAAAAGCGACAAACATGATATACATACTGTATTTCATGATTATCTTAAAACATAATAATTTATTATTGGTCTTTCGCATTTGTCTTGTATTTTGCTACCTAAAAGCTCGCGAAAAAAAGTTTTTTATGCGAATTAATTGAGTATGTATTGAGCGTCACTCTCCACGACCTTCTAGCACGTCTTAGTGTATATTTATTTAGCCTGCTCTGAAATATATAAATGTCTGCTATTGAAGGACCCGGCCAGCAAAATTTTGAGATATTCTTCATTGTCAAATGTACCATTACTAATTAAGTGATCGTAAATCGTGACGATATGTAAGCGCGGCGTCCGAAGAACGTGGTATATTTAATAAACCTCCGACTTGAACATTGTTACATGCGGCCAAGCATTCCTCCGCCTATCGAGTTTTCTTCTTTTGAATATCCTCGTTCGGTCGATCGGTTCAATTAGGTTAGATACAGACGCCCGCCATGCATTTTTCACTATCTAAAACTTTTCTAGTGCCAGGTTTTCTTGGAATGAAAATTTAGCTTAATTGTGACATGGTTTACGTCGAAGTGAATACTGCCCTCGATATTACCGCGGAATATCGAAGGCGGCGTTCATTCTCCTCTTGGCACAGTGACGATCCTATATAGTTACTGTCGGCGTGGCTGGGTGTTACTATGTATAGAGCTAAATGTTGAGAAGCTATGGGAAACCGCGTTCTTTTTGTGCCGCCCGCTCAGTTTGTGCGGCACTTAGGCCGTTAATTTCTGTAGTGATACTATATCCCTAGCGGTAAATGGGGTAGCTTAAAAATCTTTATCGATAATCATTGGCTGCAGTTTATCTCCTCGTTGAAGTCAATATTTGGTTGCCGGCCGTCTTCCTTCAAAAGTGGCTTCAGGCGATCGTTACCGATCTGTAACGGGCGACCGGCGCGCAGTGCATCCTCTGGTTTTCATATGCTGTTATTAAACTTCCGAATAGATCTCACAACTATCGAGTTCACACTGCATTAGGTACAGCATCTCGTGCTAGTTCGACAGCATTTTGACCGCTACAAAAGACGAAGTAGAGTAAAGGTTGATCTTTTTTTAATTTAAAACTTTCGACCTTGGGGCTTTCACTCGTAGAACTTTGTTCACTATATAGTGAAAGCAGTAAACTAAAGTTATACAGGGCGCTTTGTCTGAATTCGATTAAACTTCGGTGGATTATCTGTCGTAGTGACTATGGGCTCATCCGCCAGCATTTGCACAAAAAAAGTACGTCTTTTTAAAATAAATCCATAGTTTTTAAAGGAGATCAGCTATTTTTCAGTGTTTTCTCATTAAATCAACATTTACCAAGCCTCAAACCTTCTCTACTTCAAATCGACGGTAAATACCCTAAAGCGACCGTTTTGTTATAGCTTGTGGAGAGTCCGAGAGGGACATCAATCAAGCAAACTCGAAGATCTTAATAGCGTTTTAATTTAGAATGTTTGAACATTTCTCTAAATGGCTCAAAAGCCATTTCCGGTGCATCCGGAAACGGTTGGCCCTCTTGGGACCTTTTGCGCCTATATATATACATATATACAAGGCTTCACCTAAAGGCTGTAAGATAAAAATGTAATCTTCCTAAAACATATATCATTAACTATCCCAGTTTATTTATAGAAACCGTATACAATAGCCTGTGTTTTTACGGTACATAATTAAGCATACCTCGCTGAAGGTCTCAACTTCAAACATGTTTTAATGCAAAAATGAAAAAGGATATCCAAGACAACATTTGAATCAGCAATGCGGCTGTAATCGTATCTGTTGCCGCGAAGCTCATGTCTGTTTACGCAGTGTTACTACGCTGAGATAGACCAGTTAACAACGTACGGTGTTCCTCTATTATTAGCCGTATTGTTTTTCTCTTTCCAGATTTGGAGTCTCATCTAGAGTGTAACCTGGAAAAGTTGAAGGCCACGGTGCCACCGCACGTTCGATTCACGCGGAGCTACGCAGAGGTCGTCCGTGCTAGACAGCAACAGGCGCAGCAGGTACGTGCTCAGGCCCAGCGCAACGTCCGGAGCGTTGGCATGAACTAAACGCAATATTGAGCACGCATCTCTGTTTCGGTGCAAAATCATAGCAGAAGACATTTACCTATAAGAAAATAATCATTACTAGACTAAATAGCTTTCAGCAGCTTTCGCGCGCTGCCCTAAGGTGACTCAGAGAGAATAAACTTGATAAAAAGATAAATATTTCATGGCGAAGTTTGTGGAAATGGGCCGCAGCACGTTAGGGACCTGTCTGGTTACGGGCGAATCCCAATGAGGACTTGACTTGAAAATAGTCTCATGTCTTTCATACGTACAATATTCATATCCGATTTGGCACCGTGGCCTATCTATTTGTTCGCTCATGAAGTGTTTATATTTGCATTTATTTTAATATATAATATTGCTGGAAGAAATTTGTGTCTCTGGCACCCAGCGGTGATAGTAAACAAGCGTGCTTGTTTACAATTAAAAATCGAAAGTAACAATTTGATAGATTTTATCATTATTCGATTTAGCGGAATTGTAGAAAAGTATACAACAGCTATCAAGTAAACAAAAAACATCATAAAAGATGAAATGAAAAATACGGTCTTCTGTGTACTGTCTGGTATGACGTAGTAATCTAAAAAGTCTTATTTCGACTGGGAGATTTAGGAGTCGTCGTAATAGAAATAATAATAATCGAATATAAATATGCGTACCCGATATCTCCCTAGTATTTAGACGATTCAGTATATACTATACTGAGGATAATAGTAACTATATTAATTATTATCATATTCTAATACAGTTAATGCTTATTACTTACTCTACCAGCAACATAAAAGAACACAGAAAAGCATTGTATTCATCTATTATCTATACAATATCAAAACATGCAAACCTGATAATAAAGAAAAACCAACAAAACATTATTTACAAGATTTCTGCAAAGCAGCAAATGCGAATGTGAGGAGCCGTCAGCAGCGAACCCTAGCTAAATATAATTATAAACTGTGAACGAGAGATGCCGCTTCTACTACATGTTTATGTATTTCTGCAGGCTCGAGTACAGGGGAAAAAAAAAAAGTAATATTAATGAATGAAAAATGATGAATTACCATCACTGCTACCACGAACTATCCTTCATGTAATATTGTTTAAAAAACTAAAGTTGAGAAATATATGTTTCTACTGATTTCAATTGATTAGTCGATCAAATTATATGTGAGCTGATGCATCGATGAACTTTTCCTAAATCCTCTATTGTCACGATGGTCACTGTGGAGACCGTGCCCAACATTGTTAACGCGGCTGGTAAGTAAAACGCTAACATCAGCATTGACAAACTCTCGCGTATAGCAAGCCAAAATCATAATAACAGCACACAGCCTACTATCGGACCCAGTGACGATCAAGTCCATTTGCCCTTCTACTTAGTACACTTTGCTCTGCTCTTAACCGATGACTGACCCAATTATCATCGCCGTTGACCTTCCCTACAACATTGTAACATCGAATGGGGCTGTAAAATCCGTCACCATCCAGTAAATGCCTACATTAAGTATTTATTGTCATAATAAAAACCACCACACGACAACGATCATGAAGCTGAAGGACGGTCACGGGAAAGATTCACATTACAGCTGTTATTTAATTAGCGATATAATTTGTTTTCCTTATTTGTGTGAAAGCTCAGATGAACTACGAAAAATGTCGTAGACAACAAATAACGGCAGTAAGCAGATCAAGAAACACGAGCATCGTGCCAAAAAAAAAAAGCGGAGACAAACTTAAGTCTATCTACCAAAAAATGTTCTGAAATTAAAAATGTGAATGCAATTTTTAACAATAAAAATAATGAAGAATAATAATAATAAATTTAAATATGAAAAAAAGAGAAAAAAGGAAACACCACTCGCAGTATGGTACCTATGGGGTATATTTTATTACCTATTGGGTTATAGATAAATGGTGCATGCAGAATGGTTGGTTGGGGGTGTGTAGAGAACAATTAATAAAAGAAAAATTTGTATTACCAAAAATACGTGTTCTAATTTGCTTGTGCTTCGAAATCCAAAGCAGAGCTTACATATATAGCGCACCTGTGAAAATGTTTAACATTCGACCGATTTGTTAGGGCGTCGTCTGTAAAAAAACCGACTTAAAATCCTCTGCTGCTGGGAGGGCAGCTTCGCTATAGGGATCTAGTAAGTAATTATGCAGTATTTGCTTTTTATTTAAACGATATTTGCGGTTATTTTCCAATTACAAATAACCGACAAACATAATACAACTACAAAACTTTCAGAAAATGCGAAAAAAATTATAACGATACAGTATCGATATATAATTAGCTGTATAATATCAATTTTTATCCAGCAAAGATGTAATCGTACGTCTGTCACTGGGTGCGTCGGCCGCAGCAGCGCCACCAATGGCGATGATAACGCCAACGCTCTCACAGTAACACAAATAATAATAATAATTATCAAGTACAAATAAGTAGTAAGTACAAATAAAATAGGAAATGTATTATATTTTTTTTTCATCCTACTATAGAATAATCATGGGCGTCGGAAGGGCTGCGTAGTATACTCACAGTGAAATATACCATTAAAGAAAAAAGTGATTTTTGGGACACGATAGGTGAACAAGCCTTTTTACGTTAAAAGAAAGTCATTTCCATCTTCTCGTTTGCACACTGACAGAATGCAATTCTGTGAATTGTCTGTTTTCATAACCTAATCATACCCAATGCTCACAAAGATAATTCGGTTCCAGTGATCCTTAGAGATACGGTACACATGCGCAGGTGCGTACGCCTTAGATTTCACAGGTATTGCCAATCTTTTTCCCTGTTTTCTCAGAACGGGCTGCGTGTCCAAAATGTTCGATCGGCAACTCCCAAACTCGACCTGGACTTGAGAATAGCGTCTCTTTTCTTCAATTTTCTGAAAGCATGTGCATGATAGGAGCTGTGGACACCTACGGAGGAAGCATTGCGGTCTGTATGGGGCTAAGCGTTCAATCCGAAGGCTTTGCGAGCTTGACTATCAATATTGGTCTAGCCACTTCACTCTTCCAGAAGGCATTTGGCAGCTATTTATGGGCAGCTTCTTAGCAATGATTATGATAATGACAATGGCTAGCTAGTGCTGTACAGCTTTTAATTATCTTTCGTTCTGCCCAGGCGTTTTTTCACCATTGTCCTTTACAGGACCATTACACAACCTTTACCTCTATATTTCGAGTTTAAGTCCGGTATCACCGTAAAACATTCCACCGTACAGCTGACTTCCAGCACGAAGCGGAGTCTGTCTATGCCTGGATCCGAACCCAGACCACAACGTGTCCCTAGTATTAGAAGGCAAATACGTTATCCATGAAGCTTTCACGGGGACACACAGCCTTCACCTGTTTCCATTGTCTCAAAACTGAATTTTGGAAATTGTTTCCCTAAATTAGTTAATGTAGGGCTTTGGACGCCTATCTGAGTTTACCCAGGCAAGTTTGTAACTCATAGATTACTGTGTAATTCCTCAAGCCTAGTGCATAAATCGCGTTACTCTCTCGCAGTCATCCCACCTTATTAGGATTTTAGGATTTCAGTCACTCTTTTACTTGTTTTTACTATATTAACCACTTATCGATTACAACCTGTAACAAGTTAGCATATATAAAGTTTATTAGCCAAGTTGGCGTCTTAAGGGTACATTTCAAGGGCAATTTTCCAAATGCAGCAGAACTTTATCCATTTCGCAATATCCTCTTTAAGTGTAAAAGACGTACGTTACAGAATGCAATAGTTAGTGTCAACTGTCTTGGCTTGGCTTGGCTATTCTCAGTTGTTATTCCAATCGTTAACTAACCTGGTCCATTGATTCGTTGTATCGCTATGGTGTCTATAAGTAGATTTTTCAAGTTGACTTTCAATTACACGTTTTTTAAGTTTGCATCTTTGAAATCATCCAAGTTATGAAGAGCCAACTCTTTTCCAGTGTTAACTTATAACCATCTATCAGATGTTAATTTAAATGTTTCTATTACGTTACCTCAGTTCGCTTGACGACCACGTAGCTCCCTCTTTTTTTCTCCCAGTTCTCTTATTGCAACTACCAGTTAATGGATGTCATCTTGTGAGGTCTTCGCGTATTGTTTCTTAAAAGCACACCCAAGCTACCTAATTTCATGCAGTCGGCATTTTATCACTGCGAACTGCTTCGACTGCTTGTTCCCTCAATCCTCCTCCCCCCCGCCCCTTCTCCCCTGTGCAGAGGAGAGACACCCATTTCTTTCATACAGATAACTAAATTGGGAAAAATAAGACTTGCCTTGGAGAACAACTGCTTAAGTGATCCACATTCTGTACTCAAACCGTTTATTGCATAAAAGCAAACACAAATTAATACCGAGTTTTCTGGGTGTTTTATTTTGTGTTAGCACATAGAATTGTTTACGACTTGTGACTCTTTCACAGCCTTTTGTTCGCCTCGAATCATCACCATTATCGGCACTGTTACCGGCGGCGGTCGTTACCATTTTATGGTATCCAACACCACCAGGATCATATCAATAAGAATAATCTTTCTCCAGCGTACTTAACTTTTTTTAATATTAATATCATCCTCATGCTCGTCGTCCACTCATCATTGTCACGTAGTATGAATTACTAATGTGATCTTTTACAAAATGCTAATACAAACAATACTAATGGTAATAGTATATAAAGTTGGGATCGTCATCGAAGCGCGATAGCTGCGTCAACTTTTTTTTTTCCATGACTTTTGCTCGTCTTGTTGCTATTTTTCTCTGCTTATCCACTTGGTTCTGACTTCATTTGGGCTGAATCATCGCCAGCCTGTCCTCGTTCAATTATAATTCCATGTTACTATTATTTTGGTCGTTTGCTGGTTAGTATGCTGTTCTGCATCTTCTGTTTGCCCTTCGTGTAGCTTCGCTTATCATTCCGTTAATCAGATGACTGCCATATATTCTCTGGTGACGTTACCGTTTCATGCAATTGAAAGATTCCTTAACTAGGAGAGAATTGTTGGCTTTTTGGCATTCAACGTTGAGACTCTTTTGAAGCTTTGACCACTCTCTCTCTCTCTCTCTCTCTCTCTCTCATTCTTTCTCACCCGTTTTCTTTCTTTCTTTCTTTCTTTCTTTCTCTCTCTCTCTCTCTCTCTCTACCTGTTCCTGTGCAAATGATCTCAGAAAACCAACTAGTCATGTTCATGCCTCAGGACTTCAAGAAGATTCAAAACTAGATTTATCGCTGCACTCTAAGTTAGAAGAAAAAAAAAAAAGTAAAAGAAGAGCTACAGTCAGCTTTGCGTACTACACATAATCTGGTGCAATTGTCGGCACACATATGCTCAGGATCGTGTCCTAAAAGTAAGTGCTTTAACGTTCCGCTAGTTTTAGTCCCTTGACGAGTAACTAGATATAGCCGCTGTTTATAGCTCCTTGCATCAGTCCTAACAAAGATCTAAGTCCCATATAGAAGAAGAGTAAACGTTTGTTCACACACGACAGCTTTCCTACGATGAGTTCAATGTTCCTATAGTCGTCCGGATTATAGCGTTTCCATCCCCACTTTTTAATTATCGTATCCGGCATTTTGTTTTATTATTCTTTATCGATCGGTTTTTAGGCTTGTTTGTTTCAATTGGTTATAAAAGTATTCCTAATGCGGCCTCAGTTTTCTCATTTTGAGACTCGCCAAACCCAACTCTTTTATCTGTCCTCGAACAAAAACTTCTATTTAGACTTTTTCTTCGTCCTTCACTCACTCGCCTATATAGTTCGGTGTTAGTAATTCATGTACCTCTATCTATATATATATATATAATTTTTTCTGGCAAAATAGTCTAAAGCTCTTATCTCTCTGTTTGTCTCCATGCAGAAAATACATGGCTGCTCTTGACGGAAACGAAGTTAACTTTTCAATCAACCTTTAAACCGCAGTGCCTACGCAATCCCAGATCACATAGAGATATCAAACTGGGCTGGAATGGCTTGTTATCGTCTAAATGCATAATTTATAGGCTTCCTCAATTGAGTACACTTTTTATTTCGTTAAGGATTACCGAAATGTATCTCTCAAACGAATAGGTCAAGCTTGGCCAAAATGAAATTACTGAAAATGAAAGTCAGCATCTGATCACGAAATCGTCCAACACGGATTAGCTTGTTTCGATTTTCCATTGGTGTACCTGCCATCAGTGATGTGATAGACTGAAATCCGTCAACTACATTTACACATCTGTCTGACACCTGTATTAAATTTTGTAATAAGTATGTTACAGCAATGTACAGTGGACGCGGACTAGCGGCAGCACCGTAAAACGATCAGATAGTGTGTATCACCATCGCTAGCAGCGTCGATTGGCGACGGCAAAACGCCAGCTTGAAATCATCTCTTTCCTGGTGCGTTCTGACGTCCCTGCTGAGTCAGCTCGTAATAACACGGCCAAATTTTCGAACTTGTGACATCACAGATTTCGAATTCGTTGGCAATATTGACTTGCAACTAATCTAATTCTAAATTCTGCCGAGTCGCAGCAAACGATCCTTCAGGGATGGGGTGGGGCTGGCAATAAGTTTCGGGACGAGAGCAATGTTTAATGCAATGAGCGGTGGGCATTTCACAATAGATCTATGATGTATATTATAATGGTGCACTGATAAATATGATGATAGTAGAAAGCATCGTGTAAATGCGAACACAGAATTGGCGGAGATATAGGAATCGTCGTGTACTGAATCGAAATGAGACGAATTGGCAGCGGCCGTTAACAAATAGGTTTGATGGATTAAACGTAGTGAGAATCACAGTATGAGCACGTGCACATACAAGGTCGATAGCCCCGCGACGGTGGCTTACAATCTACGGCTCGATTACAGAAAAATCACATATAAATAATAATCGTCTCTGTCTTCTTCTGCAATATACTGAATAATAATAATATGAGTCATACTGTCGTTTTTCTTTATTCAAGTTCGTATCAAAGCACATTGTTTTGGCACACGGAAACCAACTGTGTTCGTTAGCGGCATACAATTAGGAACAGTAAACAAATTAGCTAGTAAGCTCTTCTAGTGTCAATACTCTGCTGGCAACGCCTAGGCAATTCTATCGGCTCCATTATCTACATATAGTTTGTCGGTAGACTTTCTTAGCGAGCGTCTAGACGCACAACGTAACGCCAATATAAATCGTTATTCAAGCTAGCTATATATATATATATATATATATATATATAAAAATACATATCAAATAAACTAGCTCAGAAGTAAAACGTAAGTGTTTCGAGCGAGTTCTACCCTTCTGTATGTTTCCTTGCTGATAGCACGTTCCTTTACATTCATTCCAGTGACCCACATAACACTTGCAGTAGTAAAGCTGACAAAAAGCTATTTTAACAGATCAGTTTTACTCAGACGTAATGCCACCCTGCCCTTCATTTTACTCACACATCATCAACTATTGTCGTCTCTGCTAACCGTCACAGTAGTAGAAGAAGTAGTAGTAGTAGTAATAATAAGTGACTTTTCATTGGAGCTGTCGCCAACATCTATCTATTAGCGTTAGAAAATATGGTCTGCTTCCGTCTTTTTTCATGAAGTCCGTATAAAAATGATGAAGTGATGGCGTCTTGTTCCTACTTGAACGATGAGAACAGGTACCCCGTCCTTTCGTTTTATAGTAGGCGCTAGTGTAACTGCTGCTTATTTCCTATGTATTTAAATAGTAGATGTACTATAATTATGGCCTGTTTCATGATAATGTCATGTAAGCGAACTGCTATAATAGGAAAGTACGAAAAGAGGCTCTTGGCTAGTTCTGCCACACGACGCTAATCCTACACATAGCCTATGGATCGTATCGCTAGTATTGTTTCTATTGGGATTAATACTACTATATAATACATGAGCGGTATAGTCTCAGCTTACAATCTTTGCCTAGCAGCCAATAGCCAGCGTCGCGTTGTTTATACCCCGTAACGTTCTCGTCACCAAACAGCGTTGCTGTACTTATTTTACTGTAATTAGTATTTGTTGCTTCTAGACCCCACTTGGGAAAAATTGGAAGTCGATCGAGCGTTAGAAAAGTGGACAAAGTGAAAAAGGGAAAAAATACTATAAATGTTTTTACCATTTAATTCATCTCTCTGCCCCGGCGTGTCGCCTCCTTCTGTCAAACTGTCTGCTATTCGCCTAGCGGCTGTAGTTGGTGTAACCATAGATAACATGATAATTGTGATTCTCTCTCTCGAGTCCCTCGTCTTCTTTTCGTTGGTTTCAACGTTAGTCTTCCGTTTTCTCAAGTTTATTTATCCATAGCGTTCGCGCTGTTTAGCAATTGCAGTCAATACAGTCATATAATCGGTACCGGCCATGGATGTGTGGCGTGTCCTGACCGAATTGTGTTCTCGATTCGGACACGGTACGTCTGCTTTTCGCCTCGCTTGGCTGCTTACCGAGACAACACGCTACGGCTCGTCCCTTCATTCAGCTAATACGTATGTGACCTTGTTGACTGACAAGACGTTAGTTCTGAATTGCATTCGTGTATGTCTTATGAGTAACTTTAGGAGTACCGTCTTTTTGGTTGATTTTTTCGATATACGTTTCTGAACTTCGTTTATCGTAAATTTCTAAGGTGGCTGATTCACTGAGATACTGGTCGCTGTGTTGCATTTGTATGTTGTATCTCTGTATGATCATGGCTGTGTGCGTCTGAGGCCTACAGGTGGGTAACACAGACTTCGCGGCAACTAACTGCGATGGCTCATTACGAGGCGCTTTCGGGTAGCCCGTTCAATGGCTTTAACAACTGCCAAGTACTGCTTTGTTACGCTACAAGCGAGCATCTCTTCGCTCCTAGATATCTCCAAAGACCCAACGGATTTCAAACCCAAAACTTAGTCAAAACATGCACTGATATTTGGAGAACTACCAACCTCAGCTTCTGTTTGCTTTGTTACCATCACCGTCGGAATTTATCATATCATTAGTCAGATCTTTCGTTTGTTATACTCGTACGGCTGGATAGAAAGACGTTACCACACTAACAGTAAAGAGTGGATAAACCGTATGTTTGGGACCGAAGAACAGAATTTTTAATATCGACTGATATACACATACGTATCCTAGTAATGTCAGTAACATTTATGCTAGCTCAACTAATATAATGATGACTGTATCTGTATGCAACTGCTATTTATACGCGTATAAAGTTCGACTATTAATGAAAATATTAATAAAAAAAAATGCCTTATAAGAAAGCCTTTTCAGAAGGCTTGAAAAATGCAGCGAGAGCCATTATATGTATCAAATTCAACCGCTGAAAAAAACTTAAAAACAATTACGTCCCTCCTTTGCTGTGTTCATACACGCGTAAGCTGTAAATGTTTGCGATCCTACCAAAATACTGCGCCATACATGTTGTCAAATGTAATATATCTGTTCCGTGTGAGTTGTCGGCAACAGTCGACCTCATAACCTATTTCCGCCCCCTTCTACGGAGTAGATTACGGAGTGATGACCACACTCTTGGGTATGAAGTTCTTTAACAAAAGTCCCTTGTCTTCTATGTTCCTAGAGCGAACCTATGCGTTGGATCAAATAAGTTTAGGCTAATGCACGTACAAATTAGATAGGTTATTAGCTGGTTCTGGTTAGCTGAGATCATTATGAAGTGTTTTCGAAGAACTGCGCGGTTCGCATGCGTCTTTTCCAGAGCATCTGCCGCTGTTCGTCAGGGTCGACTCTACCATCAACTGCTAATTGACCCGAATAGTAAGATTCATTATTCGTTTAAGACGCAGGTAATTCTGTCTATTTTACGTTTGTGTTGCTGCTAGATATAATTAGCTGACATCTTGCGGAGGGGTTGAGTGAGTTTTTTTTGTGTGTCCGTTCAGAGGACTTCACCATTTTATGAGATCATGACAGACTTCAACATTGTGAGGCAGTGAATTTTGCGCACAGACTCCGCTGTCATCACTCAAACTATGATCAATCTTTTTCTGCTATTGTATATCTGATTGCATCGACTGTTATATCACTTATGGCTACAGACAGCTACTGCAATTAGCAGTGCCTTCCTCTGCAGTGTTCAGACTTTATCATCTACAATTTTGTCAATGAGCTCTCTAACTTGCTGCAATAACCCTTTAACCTTCAAACACGCGGTATCGCGAATGTTTCAGTTGAGATTCAATCGACTGCCGTCAACATCTTCTGTACTTGACCGTTAGATAAAGCTCTCATATGATGTGTTGTTTTGTTACGACACGATTTAGATCATGGCCTTGCCCTTTTCAGGTCGGGGCGGACCTTAATTTTTTTCCAAGAATCTTCAAAGTACACCACCAAAATGACCGCTTTTGCTTTGCTTAATCTTTTAACCGCTTGTTCATTATTACCGTTATTATAACTGTTATACCACTTCAAGTACGTATGTGCAAAACTTTAGTACATTCTTCCCCTTTGCCTCGCCACTTGATATAATTATACGGTTTGCTATAGTATAATAGTTATTATTAAAAGGGTAAGCTGTTTGTTATTGTTTTTTTTTTTTGTTGTGTGTTTGCATCACTCGACAATGGTGACTCATTCTATTTTAAAACAGGTCATTTATTTGCTTAGGCTCTTTCAAGCCTGCGAATATAAAGGCGGCTTCATGGTTGATGCGTCCGCGGGTCCTTCACCAGCGCTACCGCCCGCAGTACGTGAGGCAGTGTTATCGATCACGCTTTGTTGTTGCTGCATATCCCGACGACCCGACGATGACAGTGAGCTGTTGCGTGGAGCGTAGCCCGTTACGACATTTTGGGGATCGTCGCTAGAAGTCGATGAGTTCGCGTTGACGTTGTAATTGTTGTTGCTACTTAAGCCGCTCAGATCAGTCGCCTCCTCTAAGCGCATAGCCACTCGTGACGCCCTGATCGCGTCTTCGTAACTGGGTGGCGCTTCTTCCGCGTATGGCGGCGGAGGAGACATTGCTGAGTTGCGGCGTTCTGAGATGCCGTTGGCTAACTCATGTATATGATGGGGGTGCTGCTGACTATTGCTGCTGCTGCTACCACTACAGCTTCCAACAGCGTGCCCTGTGCTATGGGGATGGGTGGCTGCAATATTATGTGAATGAGTATGGGCATTAGCGGTTCCCCGCTCCTGGCGTTCCCTCGCCCCTGAGTCGCGCCGGGAGTGCGCGGACCCTCGACCACGACGGGAGTCCCTTTCGCCGGCTCCTGCTGACACAGCTCCACCGGAGGACTCTCTGCGTTGGCCTCCAGAGCCCGGTCCACCACCACCACCACCGCTCTCAACGGCCATCTGAGACACCCCACCTAAAGCTCCCCCTCCTGATGAGCCGCTGGTCGAGTTCCGCGGTGGCGTAACCGCTGTCTGACCACTCGGCCCAGCCGATCCCGAGCCGTTACTAACGGGTGTTGTCTGATGAAATGTAACCCCACGCCACATTGGTACGATTCGCCGATTGGTTGTAGAACTTCCTCTCCTCTGCGGCACCTTGGCACCACGCTGATAGCCCAAGTACACGAGAATTATACATATAACTAACAACGGTACGGGGCTAACCTTAAAAAACGTTAGGTTAGCGTGGTCGCCGCTAAGGTAGAAGGGATCGATCATGCAGCGAAATAGGCTCAGGCTATTGTTCGCAACTGGAATCGGAATATAGCTGAAAATTAAGAGTTGAATAAGCATAAAATAAATGGTTCTTAGTTCACTTGCTAATGTAGGTATTGTTTAAATGAATGCCAAAAAAAAAAAATATGCCATTGAGAATTTCATATTACATACAAATTAATTTATCTATTGGATATTGCACAGTCGTGATCGGATGAAGTAAAGCCCTTTTTCTGATATAACATGGAGTCATATTTAAGTTTCGTCACGTTTTTTTTTCTTATTTTATTTCTGTCATTGACGCTACTTGAACAAGCGATCTGGCCATTTGGGTTATGGATTTAGCTGTTTATATATGTTGAAAGATAATAGTTGCATCAAGCACATGTTAGTGATAGCATCCGTCTTCGCATACATTAGACTCCATGTACGCTGCAAATAGTCACATAGAAGCGAGTGTGTCTGGCTTGTACGTCCTTATGTGTATGTTATAAAATTTACATCGGCACCTCCTTTTTTACGTTGTACTAAACAGAATATTTCGTTATTATTGCTTACCTTGGAGGACAACGGCAGATACCTCCAATACAGTCTGAGTACTGATCGGCGAGCAGGCATTCCTTCGACGAACGGCACTTCTCATTATACGATTTTCCTACTGAACATTTAATGATTTTGTATGGTGGTTCTCTGAAATATCACAAGATCAGATAAACGAATAAAGGCAGAACAATAATTATCACTAAATGCTATCTGTGTCTAGCTCAGTATCGCTTGAAGGAAGGAAAAAACGGTATTGTTTTCCGATGGCCTGGTTACGGATTAGTAGAGCAAAGGATAAGCCTTTATAAGGCATAAACTAATCTAACAAAGGGTCAAACAACCTGTTCATGAAAAGACTATCTATGTATATGGTTGTCTTCGAAAAGTTTATTTGAGTATGTTAGCTAACCAGTAATAATAATCATAGTAACAACTTGAGTAACCTCTAATTTGATTTTATTTTAGTCAGTCTACCTATATTTTGCCAAAGAGAATAGGACCATTACGCATGAATTTAAATTACGATTGACAATTTAGCTATTTAAATTGTTTAGTTTCATCTGCGTGTTCGTTACATGAACACTTTCCTTAAGTACCCGTTCACTCTTAGCCTTTTCTGACAGGTAATGAATGAGTCACCTTTTTTAGGATCATCTGGACGCAGATTAAGGTGCATGGAAGCATTTACATCGATATCAGCATAAGAAAATGGCCTATTTCTTTTCTGGTGTGATCAAGATCGTATTTTTCGATGCCATGCGAGCAGGACATGTGTATTGAAAAAGCCTCGATGTCTAGTTTCGAGTGAGGCGGGTAGACTTCGGACCGGTAACTGCATATTCTAGTAAAACAAAGCCTTTCGAGAAGTAAATTTGAAGACCTTTAAGGTTTGATTCAAAATTCAATAATGAAAGGAACAAAGTTATTAGGAAACAGGGTAGCGGGCTAGATCGTTTTTATAATATGGATGCTAAAATCCAAAGGGTTATTAGGTTATTAGTATCAACTGGTCATAATTGATTGACATAATTCGGGTCATATAAGTTGTAACCAGCCATATATCAAATGGAACTAGAAGCATCCTATAGTGAATAGTCTTCCCTAAATCAACTAGAGGTAATCGAACGCCGTGTTGAGGAGTACGCTGGAGTCTCTAGCCGTATTTCAAGCATCTGAGCGCATCAAATTGGATTCCTCATTTACTTGAATGAATTTGAACGTTATATTCTGTATTTAGTTTACTTTAGGGTGAAATAAACATTCGTCTATTTCAAGCAAGTTATCTGCAAGCAAATTAAGATCTAGAAGGAAAGGCAAAAAAGTAGAAAGAAAGTCGATCGCCACTGTCGAAACGGCTGCTAGTAATATAAATGTCTTTCGTGCTTGGGACATTTTCGTAACAAATATTCTGTGGGTAGATAAGTAGCCAGGCGGGTAATCAAAATTGCTTCACTCATATAAATTGAAAATACCAAGGTACAACAAAATTTATTTACCAGAATCAAACAAGTTGGGGTGACTTTTTGGGAATCGATCTGGGCGGTCCCGATGGTTTTCAGTACCACAATTACCATGCAAGAAAAGAATCGCACGATTCTTTTAAACACCAAAAACGATGGCTGATGAACTATGCTATAGGATTTAGTGGAAAGCCTGCACACATTCGAGCTAATAAGTAATATGAAGACTGCGGAGTACGTCGTCCTGCTCGCCCATAATGTACGACGCCCAACTGTTTACAAAAAGCGAAATGTTAACAAAAGAAAAAAGCAAGATCGTTAGTGGCTTCACAAAGGCCGATCTGAACATCATAGAATACTAATGACGCGTAGTAACATAAACACAAGGTATCACTTAAGAAAAGTTCGATGACGCCATCTTGGCTCCGTAGAAAACAGTGAAGACAAGTAAAATCAAAGCCGTATAGCATCAATTTCATGCTTCGAGACCACAATTTTGAAGCCGTTAGAGTGCAAGCAGATTCTACAAAATACTGACTTACCGATGCGTTTTGCTGAAAACTTAAAAAGAGAAATAGGGTTTTATGTGACGCTCTGATTTTGAGAATCTAGCTTTAAAATGCTACCGAGAAATATACACTGAAATAATTCAAGTGTACCCATGGATACGAGCGACAGTATTCGTCTTCCTACAGGACAGTTTAGCAAATTGTTACTAGCGGTTTATTGTAAAAAGCATTGTTAGCACCTCTGTATGCTTGCATACATGACAGAAACAAGCACTTCATAGCCACTCGCACCGCGCCTTCATACCAGTAAACGTGTGTTTATAAATATATACCATAATATTTAATTTATCACAGCATATATGTCTAGCTAACACAGACTCGTAACGAGCTGAGGTCCTACATACGTCTCAGTGTGGGCCTACTTTCTATTCTGTACTTTTCTTTTTAAAAAGAGGGTTAACTATTAATAATTTTGAAGTATTCGCAATATCTTATTTAACGTTATGCGAAGGCGGATGGGGAAGGCGAAGGTGCAAGAAAAGGCTTATCTTAATTTCTTTGGTGTAAAAGATATATTTCTATTTAAAAAATAACATCTTTACTAGAGCCGTCTAGTGCTGAAATAGACGTTTGTTAGACTTTAAATCTTTTCTTATGTAAGTGTAAACCTATTATTTTACTCCATAGCAGGCCTACTTTCGCCTTCCTCGGCCCTATCTTTCCGACCGCTTAGTTCTCGATGGACTTAATTTTCACCTCTTGAATGAAAAACAGGGTGGTAGAATGAATGAAAGTTTACATTTGAACTCCTCGGCGCGACAATTTGTGACAAGACAAGACACCTCCTATATGAAAACTCTGAGCTCTTTACCAACATTTTTTTGTTTTGTAGAAAAATTGGGAAAAAATTGTGTCATGCTTTTCCATGTTCCTCTTCTTCCATGTACCACATCACGATATTCTCAGCAACATGAATATCTATGAAACATAGTGACAATGCTAACCTGTAACGGCCTTGAGTGCAAACACAGATGCTATGGTTTGCATCGCACACAGAGAAGGCGTCCCTCGTTGAACATTCGATGTCTACGCTACATTCAAGGGTCGGTGCAGCATGCACGCTCTGTCCAGCTAAAATCGCCGTGGCCGCAAGAGCCAAAGTGACTCTAACGGCCCCTCTAATCCAACTGGGGCTGCTCGCCTTGAAGTCAACATTGCCGCCTCTGTCGCCTATGCCCCCAGGGGCACCAGCGACCCATCGGCGTGGCATCAGCACACGACCTGGAGCAGCTCCACGGCCATCTGTATGTTGTACCGTTACAGTTTGAAACGGCCCCGGACGACAAAAAACAAAGCAAATTATTTCTACAAAAGGGCGTAAACGTTAGCAAGCTATCTACAACAACTACGATGAATAAGGTTCCATTAATTCACACGATGCTCTTTAGTATTATAATGATCAACTTTTGCGATAATATTAATTTGTACAACGGGAGTTTCATTTGTTTTCATTTCATTTTTTCGTATGCGACAGAGTCCTATTAGAAGCTAGCTTTGAGGTTCAGACATGAGCATTTACGGCACAATATGGAGATACATTTCAGTATTATTATTATACCTAGGGTATCACTCGTATACCAAGCTTTGTCGCTTTGGATTTTATATCTGTTCCTCGTATACGTAGTTCACTCTGAAAACCTATGGGAAAGAGGTGGTAAAAATAAGATGTATGCCAACACAACAATCAGAACACGCAAGACCTCGAATCTATCCAAGATCAGGTTTTAACCGAATGTATAAAATCTACTAGGACGACTGGTATAATTGTAACATTCAGATCTGCATAGATTTACAAGAAGACCATAGGGACGATCCCATCATTCGAAGCCCTATGTGGAATCAAAGCATTTCATGAAGCCACTCACGCAACTGTCTGGCCGTTGGTTTAGGTAGTTAGTCCACTTGTTTGATTTATAGGTTCAACTTATACTGGGAACCTACGAGGACGCTTTGCTTTCGATTAATATAAGCTGTCGAAGCTACGAATGTCTATAGAGACGCTGATAACGATGATTATTATCGAAACCAAATTGATTGAACCAGATTGCCAAAATTATCTACCGATAACATGTTGAGTTAACGCTGAACAAGGTCGGCCAACATCTTGCAATAGGCAGCAGAAAAGTTACGGCTTTCTTTGTCACTGTGCAAAGCGCCCGTGTCGAATCAGGCTGATTTCACATTGCTGTCCCATTTCCCATTTTGTCTTCGCCTAGAGCAATGGTCCCTAGAAAGATGCCGAGAAGTCAACGACGTTGTAGGACGCACTCACAATGGCGCTTTGGACTCAGCTGCGCTGCTCCTATTGGGGCAACCACAGACCCGCCACAACAACGCTCCTTTTCGATGCTCCGTCAACCACTGAAAATATCAATATCAAAAGCAAAACAAAAGCACATCAACAGCGCATGAAATCAACGTTTCCGCTGAGCAGTGAGGTTAAAGGATGATCTACGCTATACATAAACGTATTTTTTTAATCTAATACAATTCCAATCAATTCCAAGCTACCATTCCATTAAATTACGTAAAGCACATGAACTGTGCTAAGTATGCGTGCAATGTATCATTTTTGCTTCGTTGTTTTAAATCTCGCCCAATAAAGTTGCATCTAGACTAAGTTTTTGCCGCGCTTTACTTCTTCCTTTGGAAGACATGGGATAAAACGGGCTCACTACATTTCACAGAGATACATATTCCATGTCCATTCACAGAATTGTGTCCCCAAGTAAACCAGGATTGGATCCCAAACGTCACCACACATGCTCCAAGGGTACCCTATAAAACGACGGGAATCGAATTTATGATCCATTTATCATGTCTATTATCGTTATGCACCTGAGGTTTTGATAACTAACTTTCTATTCTTTTTGCCCGATACAATTATAAACGAGGGAAAAAAAGAGGCCTAAAGACGTTTGCTGAACAAAAGCATGCCAACTAGTTAGAGACATAATTTTCACTGACTGATGTCCTCCCCTCGCGCTGTCAATACGAACATTTCACTTCCATAATAAGAGCACTAGGTTCAATTTGCCGGCTTGAAACTTAAATATATTTTAATTTCAGATACGATATGTTTCCACATAAGTAGTCGGCTCTCGATGCTTTAATTGGGTAGAGGTTTTGAGCATTCGTTGTAGCTAGCGCCCGCAGCGCCACACGCATTTTGATCTAATCACAGGTAGCGACATGACTCCATGCTGGATTTTCCATGATGGAAAGTTTTTTCGAATCACATCTTCTATCAGCTCCCCATAAAGCTGGCATCGGTTTTTTGTTAAAGCAAGCTATGTATGTAACATTACAAAGTATGGTGCAAATCCGTTACTTGTAGCAAGATCTGGTACCCATCAATCGCTAAGTTTTGCAATGCACGACGTATTGATGCTCGAGGTCCTTTCTCCCTAAAAGGTATATAGACATTTATCACTGACAGTTTAGCTGAAGTGAATTTTTTACCTAAATCGGATATATATACAAGACTGGTCGGTGCACCCCAAATTTTGCTGGTAGCCAAACCAGCAGACACCCAGTAAATATCTGATACGGGACACCCAAAAATCGCTAAATCATCTTTGATAGCATTTTACGTTCTCTGTTAAATAGTAGACAACTTTAAATGTTTTGACTTGCGGAAAGAAAAGAAAACATCACCGTTGTAGGGTCAATATATGTTTACTAAGTGAATAGTTTTAAATGATAATCCAATAAGGCTATATTCGCAGGGATACGAATACCTCGAAATGAAGTTACGCTAGAGATACATAGCTCGAGATCGTATTATCAACTTTACGTTTAATGGGTTCGAAGTTGAGATATAGTATGACTACGATGTCAGCAAATGTTTGGCTTAAGTTAAATAATAAATTAAGCGCTTACAGTAACTCCAAGTAAGGAACTGGAAGAGTGTTGCCATGATTAAAATGTATAATAAAAGACAAAAGAGAAATAAACTGATAATAGCATCTCAAATTGCATAGGATTTCCGTGAAGATGATGTTAATTATATTAATAAGCATATTAATAACATAAACGATAAACACAAATTATTTATTCTCCTTTGTTTATAAACGAAATGTTATTTATTTTCATCGATCATTTATCCATCCCCAATAGCCAGCGAAAGTTACAGCTAAAAGCTAGTTACAGGAAATTAAATGACTGACTGATAGCACAGCCACCAGGAGGAGCTACTAGAAAAAATCTGTCCCCAGAGGTTCTACACAAGATGCCACGTGACCCAGCAAACGTTTCGCTTGCGGTGACCATTAGTACACGAGCATAACCCGTATACACAAAGGCAGACGTGAAAATAGGGTCAAGCTTCATGCACAGTTACCGTGACGCAAGGCTGGGCTAAAAGTAGCAGATCAGCTCTTCATTTTCTAACGGCACCTTCGAGCATTGCAATGGCGTGTCTTATGCTGTATAGTTGTTTTTGATACATCAAGTCCATATAGTCAGATGGTAGTGTGTATTTCAAATACATCGAAGCGCATAGGGGCTTCTCAGTATAAAGTGAAAGACAAAAATGAGCACCAGCTACCATAAGGCGCTATATCCTAGCTCGAGTATTTATCTTCAACCGCAGAATCGTTAACAGGTAAAAGGTTGCTGTTATCAGCTGCCAGCTCACTGTTCTAACAACAGCTGATCTAAACTTTATGTCCACCGGACCTGCATATTATCGATTCCAAGTTAGGTCCAACTGGCAGGCAGTGCAACAACGTTTCTTAAAGGCTTGCGAATATTAGTAGTAGGAATAAATAGTTAGCCTCGGCTATTATTCATTCCATCTAGTTCTATGGATTTGTGTTGTTTCCCTGTTTGTCAACCTATTAGAGTGGCCGCCGAGTCTGGCCTGACGCTTCTGGGCTGCATATATGTGCACTATAATAATATTGATAGTATTATTAATTACGCCTGTGAACAACAGGCAAGTAAAGAAGAAGAAAGAAACTTACTTCGCGGTTTCGTCTTGTCTTGTCTTCATCGTCCATATCAATCCCTGCAGCTGAGGGACAAAGGCCGCCGTCGCAGGGGTCGGCAACCGTCACAGTGAAAGCCATCTGAGCAAAACAACAGTTCGAAGGAATCATCTTGTTCCATCGTTTAGTGTCTCGCGAACGGATATGTAGAATAACACGGAGAATAGAATACTATTAACGACAACGCTGCCGCGCCGCAAAAATTTCGCGCAAGGTCACGACGTTAGGGTAGCATACGTAGAGCACGTAAAAAGATATCAATCAATGAAAGAGATTTGAAGTCGCTCGTTAAGTACTCCCATAGGACGAACGAAGTGATGAATGAATCGCAATAATTAGAGCTCCGAACACTCACAATCGTTGCCCTCGTTGTCAGCGAACGGCGCGGCGCGGCAGCGTCGGCTCGTAGTCGTCCCCAAGATCATTAGTGAAGAAGAAGATGGAAGAGACAAATTCTACAAATTCGTCGAGACGACGACAACAGCAACAACAACTGTGTGGAGCGTCGTGCGCCGTCACTCTCTGGATACGCGTAGCTTACCCACTACGGCTGCTAGTCTTGGTACACTCCTGCCGTACTTGTGTATGTGCGTACACCTTCGGTCACTGTTTTTGTTCTTATTACCTAAGCAACGACCAAACAGTACTGGCTGGCAAGGTGGGTACTGGAAGCTAGGCCATTCCAGAGCAAGGTATTTCCAAGTGAAGCGTTTCTCGACACTCGACAATGATTTTTTGTGCGTAGGTCCGTCTACGGTTTAATCTATTCTTTGCTTTGTAGCAGCATTCAACCAGCAGCGGCAGTCGAGCCGCCTGAATCGGCGGCTATCCCTAGCACAGCATGCCTCTCTCCCACCAGTCAGCCGTACTGCCTCTGTGTTGACAGGCAGGCACAGGCAGACTACAGAAGGCTCGCTACAACACATTGATAAGCGAGAGGAGTGCGCGAGGGTCGTTGTCTCGCTTCGGTGAGAGCGGATGCCCAACGAAGCGAGAGAGTGGCGGCGAAGACGAACGAAGTGTGCATGCTCACCGACTTTCCCCTTCTGCCGCCGTTCCCTTCGGCTTTGGGTGAGGACCAGCGGATAAACGAATACGCTAGAATGGGAAAGGGAAAAGGTTGACATCTACACGTTGCTGTTATTGTTATTTCTCGCGCGCGACGGATACTGTGAAGATATTCAAAAAGAAAACAAAGAAACATTGACTCAATGGCATTGCGCACTCTGGACCACTCTTTGGGTCCCGCCGTTGAAGGTTCCTAAAAACGAGATGGCATTTTTCCGGAAGAACACGAGCAGAAGAGCAAAACAAAAGGCTAAAATCTCATATACAGTACGTTTACCTTTAGCACAGCTCAATGCATTTTTGTAAAACGTTTCGTTCACCAAATCTCTTTCAACTCTGTCAGCTGTCTAGACTGGCGTAGTGGTAGAAAATACGTAGCCTATGTAATTCGCTGGAACTCATATGCCAAAGTCTCTTTCAGCTTATAGACTCTTTGAATAGGGGAGCTTTTTATTTGGCCTGACTAATAGCATTTCAAAATAAGTAGATTGACGATTAATTCTGGCTTTCTGTTTCAGAAAGCATATTATCAATATTATTATTAATATCCTGTCCTATAGTGGTGTCTCATGTAGCTTAGAAGCACCGAAGTTTTAGCGCTTCCTTGCTACCAGCTCATTAAAGTTATTTTATGAATACTCTAGTAAAAAGACTAACTAAATGAAACTATACTAACTAAACATTTTGTAGCAATAGCACTGCACAAAAAACAAGCCACTTCACAAAAGCAACAGAGTGTGTCATAATACTGTTTAGTTCGCTTTTACACTATGGAATATGTTATTAAGTTGTAAAATAATCGTGCAGCAAACATAGATATCAGATTTGAAAGACAAAACACATCGAACAGAAGAATGAAATTTTTTTAGCTTTATTAACTTGTAATATTATTATGGTTGTTTCGAGCATATCGGCGAGGCGTTGTTATGCATTACCCTCGATAGCATAAGATCAAATGAAATCACCCTGTGTTGTCGGGCGGGGGGGGGGGGGGTAGGGGTTTGTGTACTTTTACTGGGTAAACATTCTGTATTTAGTCTTGTTTTATTTGTCTGTAAGAATAACACATGTTAATGATACATTATAGGTATTAGGTCATCATTACGCAACGTCACTTCATCTATGCGTTTACCTCATTGCCGCTAATATCCCTGACGTTACTCAATCACAATCTTTTCGTTTTATAATCAATAATAGTAAGGCACTAACTAGCGGGGTAGTAACCTCTATCGCCATATTATCTGTACGCGCTATATATATATATATATATATATGTGCAGAACATATTGGTAGGCTGTGTGTTTATAGCGGGCATGCGTTCAACTACCACTGTTGACAATAAGTGAAAACCTATTTTTTCTAAACTAAAATACCATACTTTTCATTGACGGAGGCGAAAAGTTGCCATGCTTTTCAGTCAGACGTATCCCTATGGCAACTATGAAGCTCATTGGTTGTCCGAACTAGACAGATTACATGATCTTTTGTCTTCACGAGGTATCCAAACACGATTTTCATATAGTAAAAGGTGGTTGAAAATTGCGCAAAAAGCAATTTGTAATTATCCCAGATCCTTGATACTGATCTCGTCCGCATTGATTTCGAACGATATATATATATATCTGTATACGTATATAGATTGTGAGTCGTTGGTCACACTTTCTCAAGTAAGGTGGCCGTCAATGAACCGCACTTCTAAATATCAGCATTTGTCATCTATGGCTTTTGCCTAGTGGTTTTTTTTTTTTTTTTACCGCTTTTCACAACCGGTGCAAAGCGTTTCGACATGGTTATTCAGTACGATTTGCAATAAATATTGTATCGTAAATAACGTACATGTTCATCCGCAACAATTATTATGTGTCATGTTGAAAGGATTTAGTCAAAAACGTTATTACGCTTATGACCGTTATACAGTCTGAGAGAATGTGAGTTAAGGCTAATGGCCTTAAGGTCTTCATTTCTCAAACGACCTATAAAATATTGTCGTATCACTTTGGCGTTTTTCATCAAGTACCAACGTTTTTAATAATACGATAAATAACTTTGAGATGTCGAGTCTCCTTTGGGAACATTATCAAGGTGACATAGAGCTTTATTAACGACGAGTAGCAAATACGCAAAAACCCTAAAAATTGTTTGAAAATGTAATCTCCTAAATATTACAGGGCTTCGATGATTAAACATTGTGTCAACACTCAGCGGACGCGCTCGACAAATGTCTACACAGATCGTTGGCTTTTTTTAGTTGGAAATAATACTACAGGCATCGGCATTATCAGTCGGCGCTCAGACAAAGTGCTCTTTTCAAGCCGGCCTGCTTGTGCATTTGGCTGATAAAACATATCTTTACTTATATGATAAGATGGAGTGTACTTACATATACGTACAAGCTGCTTTAGGGAAGCGAAGACATCGTCCGCTAAGAGTGTGCTGTCCGGTCCGATATATTCCCCACTGCTCTACCTACCTGTTAGCTCACCCTTCAAAGACAGCGCACACCTAAAAAATATATTCAATTTTCCTTCTGTACTAGTTTCAAGCAGGATGAGGGGTGGTTATGAGCAAACCGTACACTTAAAGACGGCATCTATAGCCCTGAATGAATTGTGAGTCTAGGCTTTCCTGCCTCTCTGCAACGGCCTCTCCGATGACCCAGTATAATCATTGTATGATTTTCGAATATTAACAGTATTATGTATCTTATTTAGTTTAAATATCGAGGTAATTAGCAAGCATTTTCACGCTAACTATATCGTTGAAGCTATAAAACGTGATGAGATTCACATCAGCGAAGGGCGGAACCCAGATCAGTTCCCTTACTTTATCCAATAAGCAAACAGATGATGATTCTCATCTTAACAACGCCAAAGTTGCCGTCATAGCAACACTCACTGTCAAACGAGCTAACTACTAATTATCCTGTTATATATATATTCACATGCCTTATGCAACGTAAATAGTACTCTCGTACACATGTATATTTATAGGTCTGAATCTATTCATGTGTATATATAATAGAGAAGTCAATATTTAAATATGTAACAAACAAATGATGATGTACTTAACAATCGTTATATATATATATAAACAAGCTATCGTGTATGTGATACCTTGACTCACGTATAAATCGTTGTTTTGTTATCATCGGCCAACGGCTTGATAATTCATAAAACAAATACAAGGCCTTTAGTGCCTAGAGATGTTTTCGGAGAATCTGGAAAACTGTAGGAAAAACGCAATGGATGCTTGCGCGACAAAAATAGCAATATAGTTTACTACAATGATATAAACCTAGAATTATAAGCGACAAAGACATTTTAACATGAAAATAAGAGCTTGATTTTCTACAATGCGCTCGGCGGTGGCTAGCTCGAAAGGCGCGGGTGAAGGGATGGGTTTGCTGTCGAAGATCACAGATTCGTTTCCTTATTCAATCTGGCCAATGACTTTGCCCCATTTGCTCGCAATGATAAAAACTCACATTGTGTTTAATTATTTTTTAAAATTATAAATTTTAAATTGAAATAAATAAGTTTCGTGGCGGAATTCGACAAACTGCAACATATTGTAAGCGGATCACTCATAGCATATCATCGAAAGACTGCTGCAAGTAACAGCGCAATGAGCGTTTGCGAATCTTCGTTCATTGTCCTCATTGACTAGTACCGAAAACTCGACTTCTCTGGCTGCATTTAGAGAGAGAATTTTGAAACAGACCTTTTTGCCTAAATGCCACGTATTGGTGTGTCTATTTATCACTGTCTATAGTCTGTTTAAGAAAATCTGTTGTAGCCGGCGCGTCGGGGATATGTTCTTAAGAAGAGAATATCTTCTTTCCCCCACTCGAATTATAATTTTTACATCTGTAATAGCGCTATTGCGAGCGGCAGTTCGATGAAACCCAGCTGGCCCATTTTTCATCAGCGAATGGCCGAAAATAGACACGTCAAAATCTTTACTCACTCCCCTTCGATGGCGTGCCAGCACAATGAGGATGCACAGCATAATGTTGAAATTTATTGCTACAAATGTACCATTGTATAAATGTATCTACATATATAACGCATATAGCTTAATCAGAGCTTGATGGTAGGCTTTTGGACAAAGTACACTTAAACAAAGGAAGTGTAGATTGTTCGTATAGATAATACATAGAATGAAATGACGGCATCATTATACGGTCACCGACTACGCTGTAGGCCATGCTTTATCATCCATGAACGAGGTCTGAATCGATCAACAATCACGCATGGGATACCCAAAACGATTTGACCGTGTTATGGACCGTCGTTCCATACGATGCCAGCCGATATGCGTTGAAACCCTATGCCACGTAACAAGTGATAGACATACTGACATTTCCAGCAACCAGATATATTTTGTGTGCTTTCATGGTAACTTTTCTAGAATGAAAATATTGTATATTGCTGTTATCACTGACGCGTTTCTCTACAGGTGTCTCAACCACGTGCGGTGTTCGTGAAATACGGTCGTCTAACGAATTCTAGCTATGTTATCATCGATTTAAAAGTCATAATATATACAAACCGGGTGAAAAATGACAGTTCTGTCTATGCATGTATTGTATGCATTTAGATATCAGTTTGACTTGTGTCTGGTATTATTGCCGTTTTCGAGAGCTCGGTGATTCTATAAACCACCTAAGTGTTTTGCTGGCATTTATAAATGTTCACTTTTATACAGTTATAATTGTCAAAGAAAAAGAAGTTCACTGAGTTTTTGGACTCAAGCCACGTTCACAACATTTTTCTGTGGTCATCAACCGCTTACACTATGCTGCATCTACAACCGCCAATGAACGTCGTTATGCTATTTCAATATAAAACGACAGTGATTCCGTAACGGTGGTCCGGTTGTAAGATAATATAGCGATCTTTGGATAAGTATCAAGCAAGGTGCTAGCACCGTCTAAGTGTGACTTGAAAGACCCTCTGTTAGGCAAGAAATTTCCGGTTGACGGGTTTCGCTTAATGGGTTAGCTCGATTCATCCTATACAGAGGTAATTATATCCTGAAAAATGGCTTAATTGTATATACGTTCGCTGCCGTTTGTATCTTCAGGTCTCTTGAAAGCGTTTCGACTGCAAGACTCAGTAGCAGAAGCAGCTGTCGAAAGGATTACGGTATATGACGTGGATTGTTTATCGGGCAGCTCGCCTTCGTATTTAAAGGATAAGTGCAGGACTGAAGCAACGGCACCTGCAGATCGCCGACATCACGGCAAGCACTTTGAGCGACGAGGACAAATGTGTTAGCTTCTACGAGAGTGTCTCAGAGGATTTAGCGTACTATATCTATGCTAGCCATGTCCGATGCAAGACGCTTCTGTGTCATCTAACCGTTAGGCCGGATACTCATTCGTCATTGGTAGGGGATCCGTTATCAAGCTTCAACAGCAATTTCCTCTGGGCCATCATCGATCTCTGTGGCTGTCAAAACGCCTTGCGTACACTGCGTACTGCTACCAGCTGCCGCACCCGGTTCATCATCATTACCGACAGGACCGGCCGTCGGCGTTGGCGAGGAAGATGTGCTTTGGATTCTATCGACGCCTGAATTTTTGCCAGGTGCGAAAAGCGAAAAAATTGTTAATGTCCCTTCAGCAAACGTCACGTTTACATGGCAAAATAATAATTAGTGGGTAAAGATGACAATCAGTTAACAAGCAAAGGTCCAGTCATCTTCTTTACTTAGTACTTGAAGAAACCATAAATGCTCTATTGAATGATCGGCAACTGTTTAGTAGAGACAATGGGGTCGAATAAAGTTTGTACAAATGGCAACATTTGTATACTGTATGATTAACGCAACGGCGACCACAACGGGCAAATATAGGTACATAAACATGTGTCCATGTAGGATATGTAGTGATATGAATGCGGCAAAAACAGCGTAAGAATATGCATCCTTGTACTGCCTAGTGCCGACGTACGATCAAATTGTAAAGCGAGACGAAAACTGCTCGTTAATTATGTTACAGCGTGGGAGGTATATTGACTTACCTTCAATTGCATTTTCTGCATTCATTGCATCGTTCAAGGGGGAAATCTTTCCTTTGAGGATATCACAAATGAGATCCTTTTGTATTGCGAGTATGACAATTCCAAGAAACACGAACACGGCGAATGCAAGAAAGTTAGCATTGAAAAACATTATTTTATCTGCCTCGTCAACCATGTTCATTTCTCCCTCGGGGTAACGTATGCATGACTGAGTAGCCTCTTCCACGTAAAATCTGTCCAGATACACACATTCAAGACAACACTATATTGACAACCGATTATACATAGTTGGCTATTCTGAGAATGATGGAAGAGAAGCCCTATGATTTTCTGCGAAGTCACACGTTTTCTTATAAAAGCAGGAATATATCGCTGCAAAAGGCACCTTGTGTGCCTTGTTAAAATTCTCACTCACAAAGGCATTCGTATCCTTCATTTTGCTTCTGCAGGAGATGCCCAGACCTAGTATCGCGTAGACAGCACGCCGAAGCTAAACGAAAAGAACTTTTATAAAGGTCAGTCGAGTGGTACTAGCTGATACTACTTCTAGACGGCGAAGGTTGGAATCACAATAACTGAACCAACCATTTTAGCACTAGATAGCACTAGATGAAGCAACTATCTTCTCTAGCCAGGATTATAGCTCTTTTCTGGAAAACAATCTAGTTTTAACGTCCAGCTTTACTGAATGCGTTTTGTGTGACAATATGTTACTATTGCATAATAATTACGAGGCTTACGAACAACTGCGAACGCATGGTAGGCACAAATATAATAACTGATTTAAAATAGGCGAGAAATTTTATAGAAAAAAAGGCTACATTTTTACAAGCAACCATCTTTCGACCATCTTTAAAGATTCATGCGCGTGTTAATCCCATAAACAACATGCCTTCATCGGGCTATTCGACTGAAGTGCCCGACCGCATAAAAGCATACTAACCTTAAATATACATCTTATATATGTATGTGTATGGATAGGCGGGTATCGTGGTCAAGTCTTACCCATGTTGACATTTGCATAAGCTCCGCATAAAGCTGCCAACACAACTCGTATTGCGGTTGACAACATAGCATTGTTTTGTTGAGCTGCACCACTGGTCCAATCGTTTGCCATACACACACCGAATTTCCGGGATAGTAGTATCTCTACATGACGAAACAGATTGACAAATATCATGTCAATTCAACTTGGACGGCCCTCTAACTTAATGTGGCATAATTTGAACTACTTACTATTATTGTAAGACTAGTTTAAGCGAGCATTTCTATGCACCAAAATGGCAGCCATAACGTTTGTCAAAGTAATCCCATTTTTGAACTTTACAATTCAGGGTTTATTGTGTCGTTGATTATACGATACAAAAACAGCAGGCACAGTTTTAAAGAGGATTTTGTCGACAACGAACTTCCCAATTCCTCACTCTCGGCTATAACGACTATTGCACTATCATCTGCTTTATCATAACTTTGTCGTCAGGTCTAGTGGAGCAGAACTTTCGACTCTAAAACTGTTTGCCTTGCGAAATACCACACCATCTTCCTTTCTGGTCACTGGCTTTCTACTGATAATGAAAAGATTGATATAAATATAACTGAAAAATAATGCATAGTGTCTAGTCAAGTGTATCACCTACAAGTTATATTATGGATGCCTAGAAGACCCCCGAGGTTTGGAAAGAAGAAGTTTTTAAGCTAAAAAATTACACGCTCGTCCCTCCATAAAATTTCTCATATTTTGGTCTTGAGTTTGCGCGCTCTGATCTTTCATTTAAGCAATCGCTAATCTTTGATTTGGCTATAAGCGGCTTTTGTATTAAATAAATATTCGATTTCATTTTTTATTGTGCTGAAAGACAGAGCTCGTTGTCAAATTAAGTATTCCTATAAGATAAGTGTCCAAATCGTTTTTATTTCGAGTTTATTCCCTTGAGATCGTGTAAGTTTTCCGGTGCATTGTTTGTTTTTGACCTGATTTTCGAATGTTTGGTATCTAAATCGATCAGTTTATAACTGAGAGACAACGTTTGAAATGAACACTTGATGCATAGCCGTGATCGACTTTGTCCAGATAAAAAGAATGGAAAAAATTTCTTCATGTACATAATAAACAGATAAACAAAGATTTAGCATCTTTCTTAAAAATGTATCACATACAGATTATAAATAAACGAAATAAATGTTCAAAAGGAAAATAGTGGTTATAAACGATTTTGTTATTGCATAATGTATATTTAAGTTTTCACAAAAATATGAGTACACCTTTATGTTTATTGTTGTTGTTGTTATTCAACATAAAACATTTGTTAAGCTTTTCACTAACACGAATTTCAAGTTACGTTATCATTTTAGGCCCGACCGAAGCGTCTAACATCGTAGCGATTTTTAAAAAACTTTGATTTTTCATTTCACACTGAAACTGAGCGAAATTGTTCATTCGATATAGACAGACACGCAATGGGCTGTGTCATGTCATGATTCTGTAACTTACCGAAAAAGTCCGTGCAGACAAATGCATCTTTTCAAGGCTTCGTCACATACAGCGCTGGCGTCAGCCGTCGTGCAGTTGGCGTCCGCTGTGCATTCATTAGTCTCATAGTAATACGGTAGCGTTTCCTCATCATGTGACATAATGGTGACGTCAGGCGCTAGCTACCAGTCAATAGACATAAGATATGTCGAGGCCTGCCGAGGAAAACGTCCTCGCTGGCGCCCAAGCCACGCCTGCTGCTGTTGTTACGCTGCTGGTCCAGCTTTGCCTTCGTGCCGGCAACCGGCTGATCTGTACGTATGCACTTTACTACAGACTTTATCACGGCTGCCCAACAGGACAGCGTTCTATGAATTTACGGGAAATTTTCGAACTTGCACGCAAAGCCCGCCTAACCTCAGTTGGTTTAGTCGTCTTAACCTCGCCTGGAATTCTTAAATACGTCAGAGTACATGACTATCTTGCCGTTCTGAAGCCGCGATTGAAGGTCATTAGCCACAATACGCTGTCGGTGTGAAAGACACAGCTTGTGAGGTGTTGCGTTAGGTCGGGGTGAGCGGTTCGAGAAGCGAATTGTGTGATTTGAGGGCTGGGCCGAGTTCACTCTGGGCTCCGGGACTATCAGTATTCTTGCTGCTGCTGCTGTTGTTGCTGTTGCTGTGGGGCGGGGACTTTTGAAGCGGGAGCAGCATGCGTGATACACAAGGCCTGTGCGTGCATGTGTCATGCCTTAGTCGGACGATTATAATGATTATGATGATGCTGGAGACAACATCTGAGGAGCGCCAGGAGCGAGAGGAGGGTGCGCAGCAGCCACGACAAAAGGAGGAGAGATTTAAGGAAGGCCGCTACCACCATTGCCAAGTAAGAGCAGTAGGAGAAGTGTAGGACACGACGCGCATTGAGGAAAATGGATTCCGGACGCCGTGGCCTTGACGAACGGCCTCTGCGTGTGCCACTACGCTCTGCACCCAACGTCCCCGAATGAACTCTGATGGCATCGTAGGTAGCGAACGCGTCCAGTTCAAGGTAAGATACTTACCTCTTTTTGTCGAATCGAACAAAACTGCCATTGGAGATCAGTTTGACAGCGCATAAACGATCCGTTGCTTTTAACATTTCAGTTGTTCCTTTCGATATGCTAATCCGCCACCGTAGATTGCCCAGCGTCCAGCGAGCAAACAGCTGATGCTTTACGAGGGCTCTTCTAGTAAAAAAAACACTTTCCTAATTAATGCTACATCTATAAATAACTATACTACGTGAGCTGATGTTCTACTAGCAACTGGATTTCCTTTCTCAGCTTCTTCAATTTTAACAAAACGAATACTAAATAACTATGACTCAACTTTCTACTGTTTTCTCTTCTGGTACTGAAAATAATATAATAAAAAAAAAATAATAATAATGATAATAATATGAAAGCAATGCTGACGAAAAGAAAGAACGTCTATATACCTGGTCATTGTTCCGTCGGCAGTTTCAACAAGCACTGCGCGAATAGCGGCTGACTAGTTGTACCGGTAGAACGTTTTCTATCACCCTCGATTTACATGTACTTGTTAGGAATGGTAGGAATGGGAAAGAAAAGAATGAAAGCCTACCTGTAATAATATTGACTCAGTGAGCCTAAGAGTTACTAAGCTTCTATATAGCGTCTCTTCAATGACCCAGTCAGTAACGGAATAAAAAAGTAAGGATGACTGCTTGCATTGTTTTTGACTTGACCATATTTTTAGTCAACTTTTTAGTTTAGAACTTGATGAGCAACAGTATAGCTTCATGAAGGGTAGGATTATTAGTAACTTAAAAGCTGTATTAAGATGATGATTATTTTCATCATCAATCGAGTTAGCCATAAGGTTCTTTATTGAAAAAGCTTGGTATTAATAGCCCTATTCTCGTACACATGGAACATTTTAAGTTGCTCTTAATCTATGTTTCAGTTCTAACAGTCTGAATAAAATTTGGTCAATTTTGATCTGACATCCTGCCTACTAACGCCCCTTATAAACTGTAACGCTAGTGATATACAAGATGCTAGCGGCGTATGGCAACTGGCGTTTCGATAGATACATGAGGTTCTCGATTCGTAGTAGCTAATGACTTTCGACGGAAATCAGACGCTACTTTGAACGATGATTGTGTTTAAAAATAAGGGTAAAAAATATTTTTCTGACAAATAGATTCTAAAAGAATACAGGCAGGACTTTACTCGCACATCGCGCTGGTTATTCAGGCACTCTCTCTGATTTGTAATATGATTTTATTGATACATTTATCACCTCCAACGCGTTGCTTTCATCGTTTTTAAGCTTCTGTACTCGCCGCAAATGTGGCGTCCGCACGTTAAAGACGTATCGATGAGCTCCATTATGCACAAGATAGTGTGAAGTAACGACGATGGGGATTCAAAGGTAATATATATATAGTATAATTATCAAATCAAGCAATTTTGGCCCCTTTTCCAACTCAGGCTTCTGAAGTAATCAGGTCAATTAACCATCACTAAATAAGGCCCGCAGATATCGAACGCCGTGCACTTTCTTTTTATACTAAAAGCGTGCATTTATTTCAAATATCTTGCAACAGAGGTTCGTTTATATTGTACAAAACAATAAAGCAGCTTCCCGAAGATTTGCAGCTCAACAGAGGAATGTAAACCTTATGACGGAAACCGCCATTAAAATTGACGTATTCTTCTACCACAGTTAACCAATTCATTTCCTCCAACGACAACTCGATAACAAACCACAATCTAACTCAGGTGCGTATAGTTATTTGTTAAGAACATAACTATTTGTCATTTTTATTTTCAGGTATTTAGATACCCTGCTGATCCACTAACCTGTCTGTTTTTTATACCCATTTAGAACTCTTAATCAAAACTAACATTTCATAAAAAGTACTCTGGTCCGATGAAAAGGGATCAAAAGCCTTCCGGATTCGTTTTCCTCATATGTTCGAGACGTCTTTTCTGCTCCAAAACCCCTGCTACGGTTGCTGAGCCAATCTTTAGCCGTCCATCGTATTGCATATGAAATCCACAGACTGCTAAATACTCTCGCTTAAAACACTGCTAGGATTCTATCTGTCGAGCTTGTTTCCACCTTGCTTCTTACTGCGTTTCGGGCTCTCTTAAATGTTTAAACTAGTAAAATGTAAGCTAGATAATCATCCCCCCAGATCACAATTGAAGCAATGTAAAAGTTGACGTATCCTGTGATTGAGCGCCCAAGTTGTCAATGTTACTTGTCGGCGCTCGGGATAAAGCTCTGAGTGATCCAGAGCTTCCCTTAGATAGCAGTCCATATTCGCTGCTACTCCGCTATCGGATGTCTTCGTCCTCCTGTTTTATTTTTGTCGACCCTCTGCCAATATTCCACCGACGCTTTTTTTTCAATTTTCAGGTTGTAGGGTGTCGCCTTAGCTAGCAACAACGCTATAGAGGTTCCGATTGTACGATATATACGTATAGTGCAAAGTGATCGGTCTCTTGCGGGGCACAATTGATAGTTTCTGCATACACGGTGAGGCTTTGAATGGGGCGATCGATTTCATAACCGACGTTAATACCCTACAATGGCGTGCACATCTTACTTCACAGATGTTTAAGAAAATGTTTGATACCAAACTCGTTCTTTTGGTTGCTTCAGCTGTAGCCCTCTGTACATGGGGACTAATATTTATTAGCTTTTAAAGGATGCTCCCAAGTATATTGTATCATTGACTATCTTAATCTGTTGATTATTTAGACAAGGATTGACTAACTGATCCTCTTTCTTTACAATAAGTTGAGTCCTTTCGTTCTTATCTTGGGCAAAACTTTTGCCAAATGGCTCCGTATGCTCTGTTGCCCTTTGCTATGTCCGCAACCTTTTAGAAAAATCTCCTAACTGCTTCGAAAGAATGCCGTCCGGGTCGGGGCTTTTCCCATTTAACTTGGTTGGCGTTTTTTATTCCTCCATTGATTGTGATAAGTCGCGTGTTCCCCATATGCTTTTATGCCCTGCGTCTGATGTTTTCATGCTCAACGTATAGTTCAGGCAAAATATGGATTCTCTTCTGCTGAACTTTCGTGCCATTTGCCATTTTGCCTTCGATTATTTTGCACGGACGGCCCGAGGGGGCTCGTCCCTCGTTAAGCTCTTCTAGCAGCATTTTCTCATGCTACGTGCGATAAAACGTTTCAGAATGGCTCGCCGTTTTTTATACGTATTTACCTGCCCATGTGTTTGGATAGCAACTGCGAAGTTATAGACACATTTTTTTAGCACCTGCAATGGCTGTATTTCGTCGGTATTTTGGTTTCACCTGTTTTATCTTTCTGGAATACGTGGTAAGGACGCCAACAAGTGAGCAGTTTTGGTCACTGAGATTTCCTTCGTTCGAATGCACCTGTCGTTCGGTGGTTTTTTCAACCTGATCTATGCCTACAATCGTACGGCTCCCGCATTGCTCTTTGAAAGTTTGCCTTTATGGCATCATTTATGAAAACTAGGCTGTTTGCGGTTAGGCTTCGTCAACTCCGTGACAGCTAGATGAATAACGTACTCGCCTGTTAATCTTAGAGACACGTTTCGGTCTAGGCTTGAACCCGGGCACAGATATACTTCATTTCACGTTGAGAGGCAGCCGTCTGATAGGGTGCCTAACGACGACACCGAACGTGAAAATCGAAAACTAAAAAGTTACGGAGCTTCGCCTTTTCTTTTCTCTTGAGCCTTAGGTCTCAGCCATCATATAGAAATTGCGGCCAGTAAGTATCATATTCGAGTTAGGCGCGCTTCAAATGTAATGTCATCCAAAAGTTTCATCAATTTATACTGCGGGCAATTTGACCTTATTAGCACAAATATGTCCGGCCTAGTTCATTTATATAAACACAAACAAACCCCTTTTTTTATCCATGTTAAAAATATTGACTGTGAAGCCGGAAATCGCTACTTCGGGCTCCAGTATATAAGGAACGATTGTGATGCCTATAGGATATTCAGGTGCCCTAATGGACGGATAAACTAGTAAAATACGATTGTTTTTGTCTACGAAATTTAAGGGCGCGTTGTGACCTAAACACAAATACGGACGTAGGCACGCTTTGTTTCGTGCTTGAAGCCAGCCGCCCAAGACAATGCCGAACGGCTAACTACCAGACGTAAAACACAACGCATTTAATCATAAAGATCTTAATACGTCCTTGTAACGACTCATTTTCCGTAAGGCATGGCGAATCTTTTTTCTAGTGCATACGGGACATTTGAGGTATCTCTAAGACACAGTAACATTGCTGAGCTCACTAAGTCTATTAGAGAGTTTATATAACGGTAGAATCTCAATGTTGCGTAGAGGATCTCAATATCCATATCTCACATACTACGAGCAATCAACTCAACTAGCAACCACCCCAAACGCCATTACCATGTCCGCATCTTCACTATGTGTTTAGCAAAATTTACAAAATCTAAGATATGGTTATGTTATCATTACGTTATTGATAGGAACGCCACCTTTAGGCCATCTATTCGGAATTCAGTCAGGGCCTTAATAAGGGAAAACAGAATCAAGCACTAACTTCGGCCTCCATATTCTCCAATTCGCATAATTTTGATTCATTGGTGTCTTGGAAAAGTTTATAAGATATGTAGCGTATGTCCCGCTAACGATTCTCTCGGACAGGCTATCGATAGTGACATTAGCTATAATATCGCAATGCTTAAGCATACAACTATTGAGAAGCTTTCAAAGCACTCGTGTCAACATCTGAACGAGACAGAGGGCAACATCTACGATATAACATACTATTTTGGATGGTTTACAGGTATTTTACACCGGCTAATGGTTAGCAACTCAATAGGATAGCTCCTATTGAAATCACGAAGAATTTATTTTTGATCCCTTGCCCTATTTAAAATAATACCAGCGTAAGAATATAGAACAATTTACATCTACATGTTGGACATTAATGATTTCAGTGCTTACCACTAAAGGGACCAAAAGAGCAAGCTGGTCTTCTAAAACAATCGTGGCTTTTATGAATATATCCCTCTGTTGGACCATACTGAAGTCCAGGCAATTGCATTTGGAGAGCGTTCCATTGACAAACAGGCTGTACACAGCCTTTCTCAGAGCGCGGTTTGAGACAAACTGAAATTGAAAACGATAGCCATCTAGTAACAAATAAAGGTTGTCTGGAAGCGCAGAGTTTAGCTCGGGATACACAGGCTTCACAAAGTTAGTCGTTGGTACAAGTATTCGTTGTTGTTGCGGCATGCTCTTTGACAAAGGGCCAGTTTCTAGCCTAAATAGCTGACTATCCGTTGTATCGTCTTTGATTAATCCGTTACAGCTGGCTGAATTAATGTACACGTAATGGGCTTTTTACAGCCTGTAGACCATGATTCATTATGGCCGTGTTAATATAGAAACTATCTCTCTACTATATATATATATATATATATATATATATATATATATATAGAGAGAGAATTTAAAATCCTCTTTAATTTTATGATCCGGCTTTGTGTTTAGCACGACGTCACGTGCCCCCTTACAGGCACAGTCAAGCTGTTACAAATTAGTATGCAAACTGAGATGGACAGAGATATCGTTTATCAATTTTAAGACTGCTTTTCTTGCAATCTACGCATCGCAGAGTCACGTATAAGGCTGGTTGGATCACGTTTGGTCTCTTGCGTCATCATCCGTTCACGAAAAAATAGTTTCCCTAGGCCCTATCATGTCAACGGAGCACCGGTAATGGACCCAAATAGGCGTAGCCGGATCTTTGAGTTAGTTTGTCGTGCACACGAGTTGCTACTTGTTCATCTCAATGACCGTCGGCACTCTGGTCACTGAACCCCGTGCTCTAGCATGGATAAAGAGCGCTGCTCTGGAGTGAACTCATCACCGATTCTCTATCCTCATTTTATAAAGACCACTATCCTTATTTAACATAGCACATTCTACCCGGCAAGCCCAGTTAAGATACAATGCAGCTGAAACATCAAAGATTCGAGGCTTCTCGGGAATCCCATGAAAGAGGGTATGTCTATATGAACCAGAGTTTATTAAACGCTACCGCTGAGAAGAGCAGCCATCCTTTCTCGAGAAGCAAAATTGCCAGGCTCACCTGAGCCTCGCAACCACCTTACACGTAAACCTATAAATTGTAACATCTCCAAGTAGTAATCAATTGAAAACATCACACTGGCCCATATTGGCTTAGTAGTAACTCTTAGTTGAGTATTTAATTGTTTTAATTTTGAGAACAAATATTGATATCCGAATAGCAGCACATTTATTTGGACAGTATAAATAAATGAAATGATTTTGTCGGTTAAGCATAGCAAACAGGTCTAAGTTGTGAAAAATGAAATAAACGTATTCTCGTTCTGGATAATATATAAGGTTTGCCTTTATTGGACAGGGTGGCAACAGAGTTGCCCGGACTTTGTTTCGAAGGACAAACGGCTCCTCTGTTGGCATGATACGTGTTAGTACCCGATGACTCCGGTTAGTTATCATTCTGTGCTACTGAAAAAGGAAGCTCATTTTCTCTCTCCCTCTGTATATAAATGTAATAAATGTATGTAAATATATATATATATATATATATATACCCTGCGATATCTTTCCAGGAAAGTCTTGTTCTCTCCATAAATAGTTTTGGTTACCGTTTGAAAATCACAGGAACCCGTGTCTCCGTATGACCAATTAGCCGCAGACCCTATCTATACATGTATGCGAAAAGCTGGCGGAGTTTCGTTT